AAATGAACAAGCAAGCAAACAAAACAAAACCCCAAAACAATCAGAATTCCTTTCTTAGGAGAGTCTCAAATTTTGTCCAATACACTTGGCCTGATGTAAAGAAAACCTGAGAATTTTCTTCTTTCTAAGATTTTTCCATTGATGTCTCGAGCCCTGTTCCCCACAGATCAGAAAAGCATCCTCATGCAGGGTTACATAAGATCATGTGTCTTTTTCTGAAGTGACAACTTCTTTATGTGCTGACAATGACTCCTGCAAAAGGGTTGTAGAGGCTGAGTCTGCTAAACCTGGTATGCTTCCTCTTCCAGCCATCCATCCTAAGGCACATGGGATGGCCTGGAATCACCTCACCTCCCTGCAGCAGTGCTCACATTTTATACAGTCGGAGTACATTGGAACTAACATTACACAAGTATTTTTCTACCTGGATACATTACTTGCCATGATAGATCTAACCAAGCATGCAATTACAAGCAGTCTCAGTTTGTAGGTGAACTTTTAATGTAGTGCACAGAGCTCTCTGTTGTCCTATATGTGCAATCACCATTTCATCCCCAAAGTGACTAAGGTGGAGGCATGACAAGGCTAAATTTCAGGGCCTCCTGATTTCCTGTTAGTACAAATGCCACAGCAGCTAATCGCTCTGTGACCATGAAGTCTAAGTTAGGGTTAAGATAAACTTGGAGAAGTTATCTTTAGTGCAATAGAATTGCATAGCAAACAGCAGTCCTCAAATATGACATGACTCAGATCTCAGATGGAAAGTTGTCTAAAGTTTAACCCTATTGAATGACTTGGGAAATAGTATATACTGCAGTGGGGTGGTGAGGGTGGGGGTGGAAGTCCTGAAGCCACTTAATCAGTATGCTGGCTGACGAGCCAATGATGTTAGTGACAATAGTGGACTGTTAGGCTTCAGAATGTGTTTTCCATATTTGAAAATAAAACCCTTTGAGCATTTAGGATATCTAAGGTATACCATAACAATCTGTTTTCAGACTGAGAATGTCAGAGTTTAATTCCATGCTATTCTTTTTCTCAGTTTCATTCTTTTCTTTGGAAATGACAGGCAAATCCATGGTAGGTGTCAAGAATAGTCCCACTGACTATTCCATCAAAATGCACAAAGATGTGGCTTTGGCTTAACAAAGTGTATTAACTAAAATTTACCAAAAGAAAATTCTCAGCTATAATACAAATCTAGACTAACAGCATCTTTCAAACCATTCATACACCAAAAGCTAGACAAAGATAACATTCCTACCTCTTTCATTTTGCAAACCTTGTTTCCAATTCCCACAGTTATCACTCCATTAGGAGTGTGCTAGCATCAAACCGGGATAACAGGAGGAAATTGAGCCTGTTGGTTTCTTCCTAGTAAAAGGAATGGAGGTAAAAAAAAACCAACCCCCCCCACCCCCCCTTAAAGCAAACTAATGTAACAAAATCCCTTTGTGAATGTACTAGGATCAGCATATGACAATTTAACCCAACCCAGAATACATTCTTATTCATAAGACAATGTTCAGAGTCTCCAGAGAAAATAACAAACATTATCTTGGAGGCTATGTTACAATAACAAATGCTGAATATTTTGAGGAAAAAATTCAAGGATGAACGTTAAGTATGAAACAGGTGTGAATTCTTTTTTAATATATTTTTAAAGTAAGGTTTCTTCATCTTTAGAAATGAGGAAAACTGAAGGCTAAAAATCACTTAGCTTAGCCAACTGATTATATCTATTTTAACCTGCTATGGTTGCTTGGCAGCTCTTTTGCTAATCCCTGCTCTGTCGTTAAGCTATATATTAGCAGGATGGAAATGCCATCACCGCACCATAATTCAGCAATGTGAATACAGAATAAGGAGAGTGCAGAGCTATCGGCAGCAGTACAACAGGAGATAACAAGACCCTGTTACTCAAGCAGAATGTGTTATGTAAAGACAATTGCAGTGTAGAAGCAATAGCTCTAATCAGGTTAATTAGGCTGTATTCATGTTTCATTTATGGTGGAAGTGTCCTGTAAATTCAAAGCAGTCTACCTCATCTTATTGCACTCCTTATACAGCCCTCATGTTCTCTGTAACACTCAGCACCATATAAAAAAATAAAAAATAAAAATAAAAATAAAAAATCCCAAGATATCACCTGCTCCTGTTTAAAAATTATTTTTCTTTATTGTTTATGACTAAGAAAAGAAAAAAAGGAAAAGATACAGGTTATGTATAAAGCCCATGCCCACATTAAAGTTCCTTCCTTTGCAACCAAATAAGGCACTTGGAAGTTGCTTGTGGAGGGCCTATTTAATTGTGCTTTATTTATTTTTCATGTATTTTCTTGCTCACTAACATGACATGTTGAATGTTTAAGAAAAATTGTACTGGCTTTGAAAAGTGTGGCTCTCACCTTTCCTCCTTTTATCCATTTCCTTAAAGTGATTGCATGTTCATTCCCTCAGAGCTAGCTGGAAGGACATGTCTGCTTTGGAAAAAGTATTAGAGCCCAGTGCTGTGACCCTCAAATTCTAGCTGTGTCTTTCCGCTTACTGAATTTATTATGTTTTCCCTTTAATGTAATAATGGGTCCACCAATTCTGAGATCACCTTTTCCTCATCCCCAAGAAAACAAGGCTGGGCGGAGAGGAGCTACTGAAAAGAGAAAAGACATGCTGCAGATGAAGAAAGCACAGCAATGTATGCAATCTCAATTATTTTAACTAAGTGTCTAGCAATCAGGTATCTGCATGCTGATTGTGAGCCTAGACATCGTGCTCCCTATTAAAAAAAGAAATAGAGTGTTTTCATTACTCAGTTAGAACAAAATTATTTATGTTATGGCTTAATTATAAAGCCTTTTATTAAACTTGAAAAATGCTACAGCTCCATTTTAATATGTCCCTTAAACATTATTTCCATATGCTGTTAATAATAATGATTAAATGTATAGTTTTGCTTGTACAGTTCTGCATATAATATATGTATTTTCTTATACATTCTGTCCTGTGGAGGTGTGGCTGGTTGAACACAATAACACAATATCACTGCAGAGGTCAAGCTATGGCACTGATGAGCAGTGTCATAAAAAGCAGGATGACAGAAGAAGGAATGTTTCGCATGTTGCCACTTACAGTATTACACTGCTGCTGTGCATTTACTTTCATTCTTGCTGCAAACAAACGTGACTGTAGGGAATTTCTAACTATACTTGACAGTGCATACATGCCAGAAAAGGCATGCTGCTGAACTTCACAGGGCCCGCAAACTCGGCGCATCTTGTCATATCTCACACAAGTTAACACCCTGGAAGAAAACATCAGGGAAAATCCATGTGCACTTAATTTTTTACCATCTGAACACACACTGAACCAACAACCCGGTTATTAATCTATTCTAATGGTTCATATGTCTATCATATATTTTTTAATATTTTACTAGATACACATGTAATTTCAAGGAAAGCCTGACTTCTCATCCAATTCCATATCTTTCCCTTTCTGAAAAAAAGCTGCAATATTAAAATTCTCCAGATTTCAGGAGGGATCGGTAGCAAAGGTATCCAAACAAGACAGCCCTCATTTACCTTCTGACTGCCCCTGTTTTTCCAGCCTAGACAGATATGTGGAGCAGCAACAGAGCAGAGGGGCCACGCAACTGCCTCTCTGACTTCAGCTCAGGTGCACTGGCACCACAGTAATAAACTTCATTATTCCTCAGTCAGGTGGCATCACTCCAAGTAAATGAAGTAATTGTGTAAAGGGACTGCTTGATGGAGCCTGCAGTAAATATATTCTCAGGCCTGATAGTGGAGACCTCAGGACCTGTGCTGAGGTTTCATCCTTTTCCTCCCTGATGAATAGCAAGAGCCAAGAAAACCTTATTCTCCTCCTGAAGGATAAAGTCTAGCTGCCTGATTATGTGCATTACTTGCAAGTATATTGTACATTTCACAGCCACAAGCAAATACCAGGTATACATTCCTGAGCTCTCCTTCCTGCCCTTAGTAACCCTTGTACCCAGGTGGATTTTTTTAAGTGATATTTAATTTACCATTTGACCAAAAGACAAGATTAAACTTCAAGTAAATGTTAAACACTTTCAAGAAATGTTAAACACTTGCAAAAGATTAAAAAAACTTGCAAAACCAACATTAGGGTGTAAAATCCCTTCTGACTTAGTTTTGCTAGGGACTAGTCTAAATGTCATTACTATAAGTACAAGATTCTAGATGTATTTTCTCAAGAGTGGCAGCAGCCAAAGACTTTTTTGAGAACCCATTGAGAAGGACCTGATACTCCCAACTCACAGAGGTCCTTCTGGAAATGTAGCTTGGTTTTTATTAGATTCTTCTCATAAAGAAATTAGTTTTTCTCCCTTTTTCATAGTATAAACTTTTAGCATTAGCCAGAAGCTAATGTGAAGGTCATAATGACAGGGTTTGTCTTCTCAGGTGTGTGTAACAAGACATGCTTGCAAAGACACTGTGACAGTTAACCAGGGAAAGACAGTTTCTCATTGCATGTCTATAAGCTCTAAGGTATCTCAATCCTAAATCTATGAAATCAATCACAAATTCTTCTATAAAACTAGAGTTTCAATATGACAGAGCAAGGTGTGTGTCTCCAAAGCTGTGACCCTTATGAAGAGCAAATTATCAGGAGGCTGAAGACATGATTGAAGAAAGCTAAATTATTTCAGGTATGATTAAGGAACTATTTTTATTTATCTTAAAATGTTATAAATAAAATGTGGGAAAATGGGAAAAAAATAGCAAAGAAGGTATTTTGAAAAGGAAACGTCTATTTCATATAAAAAGTTAGCAGAAAGCACAAGGTAATTTGAAGTTGTCAGCATTCGTGACCTCAGTGATGTTTATTTTTGATTGATAAGTAAGCATTCTAAAATACACTTATTTATCAAACTAACATGCCAAGAGAAACATGTGATAACCCATACCTTTATAAAAGAGAGCCCAGCATGTTCAACTTTACTTTATCTCCATCATGAGGGGCTTGATATTTGCCCTGGTTTTAACAGTGGTGGGTAAGTAACTTATCTGCTTTGATGAATTTAAAATAATATATTGAGGAAAATGTTTCAGAGTCTAAACATGGTTCACTTACAAACATGAACTTTAACATTTTATAGAAAAATTATTTTATGACAGTTTTTTGTTGTTTAGGGAAAAAAGGCATTTTGCTATGTGCTGAACTAGAAGCAAAATTAATTAGAAAGAGCTATGCTATATGTACAAGATGAGATATAGCCTTTGATACTAAAATACATTAACATTTTGGGGTTGGGTTTTTTTTTGCTTTGTCATTTCATTACTCTTTCTTTTTTTTTTTTTTTCTTCTCTTTCAGGGAGCCAGCATCTTAATTACCGTAAGTAATTTCCCTATCAGCTAATATAATTATAATGAGTGAAATTCAAAATAGAATCTGAAAAGTATACCAATGTTTAATATAATTTTGCACAGCTAATTTTTCTCAGGTGCAATACAAAAATGAACAAATTCATCTTTTTATTCCACACGCTCTAATTCAGGTACTTTAATATGTTTTGTACAGTCTTTATGATGTTTTATGGAAACCATTTCTTTGCAGAACCCGATTTCAGTGAAAACAAGGTTTATTCATTTAATTATGAAAGCATACTTCTCAGTGGACTTCCAGAGAAAGGACTTGCAAGAGCTGGAATAAGAATAAAAAGTAAAGTGGAAATTAGTGGTATTGGGCCAAAACTTTGTCTTATTAGGGTAAGAAAATGTATTCAATTTGAAAGGTAAAATTTTCTTCATACTTGACTTATTTTTTAAACTTTTGGGAAGTAATTAAGTTTCATCATGTGTTCTGCTTACTCAGGGAGAATGCAACTAACACTATTTTTTTTCAACGCAGTGCCCTAAATTCTATTTGCACTTTGTCAGGCAATTCTCAGCTCAAGCCAGCCTTGGGCTTGAAGTATTTCTTCTGCTTTGTGGTCAGGGAGACAATGGAATGTAATTTGAGATGCACAATAATTTATTACTGGATCAATCCAATTGTTCCAAACTGTACAACCTAAGATTATTTAATCAACTGATTTCGTAACCAGCAAATGAAAGGCAATAAAACATGTGACAGTAGCTGGATGTGATTCAATATTTAGCATAATTAATGTCATCTGGTGGCTTCTTGTTCTGCAGGGTCCCAAATGACATTCTTTGTTATCCTCAATTGTATATTTTCGCTTCATGCTGAGTAATTACTAAGAGTTTTGATTATGTGAAAAACACTTGGCTTTAACAGAAGCCTATACGTGCTTCTAATGAGTGTATTGAAATGCATCCCTCAATTGCTTTGCACAAACTCCACTAAGTCTTCTGCATATGTGGAAGAAAAATGATCTTTTTAAAAGCTTTTATTTGGCAAATTGAAAACTGCAGATTAAAAAGACTGGTGACTGTCTGATAAATGTTTGCAAATGTATAGCCTTCCAGCCTGAATTAACCTTGTGTTACTAGATATTTTTGTAAGTTCAAATTCTAATAGATATAGATGGGAAACATTGCTTTTCCATAACCTTTGCAAGTGGCTGGATTTTTTTGCAAAACAACAAATAAATAAGAGCCACACATCTACACTGGTGAGTAGAAGGCTTCCCCAGCAGACAGAAGGCAGAAGCCATCTTGTGTTTACCCCACATTCTCCCCCATTCCTACTGAAACAGATCTTGGGTAAGTCTTCAGCATTTGACTCCTGTTCCCCAGTGCTTTTGGGAAAAAGTTTACATTTCTAAAATAAATACAGAGATATTTTCAGGCAAGAAAAAGAAAAAAAAAAAAGATATTTTGGGGCAAGTTCTAAGGTAAATGTAACAATATATTTATTCCCTTCTGCTCTGGGAAAAGTTTATTTTGCTGCTGTTATATTTAAATTAGTTTAGAGGGATGGTTCAGGGAATTAATCTTTCATCTGTAGCCTAGTAGTTTGCATTCAGCCCAGGCAAAAACCTGTGTTCCCTGGGCAGTTTCCAGCTGACAATTTTTTCATCGCAAACCTGCAGATATGAATTGCCAGATGTGTTCAAAACCTAGAAGACAGCATAAGTCCTGACTGGGCCCTGAGGGCTGGGGAAAACTACCTCGTCCTGATATTGCAGAGCACTCCCAAACCTGCCCATATGCAATATGCCAGAAGCATGTCCGAGAGGCAGCATGAGGGATTTGCTCTGTAACAGCCTCCTCTGTAAGCTTCAGTTACTGGGGTTGGCAGTGATCTCCACCAACAATAACAAAAATAAATATGAAAGTGCAGTCTCCAGGGGTCTGCTGTATGAGGATTTAGTTTGTGTGGCTTTTTGAGAAATTAATCCGCATCTTGCATCACATCACCAGCCTGAGGTGTCAGAGAAAAGTCTCTTTAAATTGTCAAAATATATAGAAGGGAAGGGTCCTGAGAAACTAAGCTAAGTATGCCCTATTCCCATGGGGTAGAAATCATTTGAGTTATTCATAGTTCAGCACAACTTTCTACTTGCTTGGATGTGCCCCAGGTTGAGGCTGGAGTATGAAGTACAAAATGGGGTTGGTGCCTAAGCCTTTGGCTCCGCAGCAAAATGCATACAGAAAGACAATTTTTGTAATCTACTCTCCACTGCTCAAACTAATTACGACTATCTGGCTGGCCCAGCAGCCATGTTGTTATTAGTTTCTGACTGCTGTATGTGCTCTGTGACCCCAGCGAGGGAGATGACAGAGTTCACAACAGGCATTAATGATGCTTTATGCAACATTAACTTTCTCCTGCAATTTCCTGCAGATCTTCCATACCACTTTTGGGTAGCAACCTGCTTCATGTACCTCTTCTCTGGCTCATTTCTTCATACAAGTCAACCTTTGGCAATATGGATTATCTATGAAACAGAACAGAGTGCAGTGACTGTGGAAATATCTCAGTCATTCACATTACTCTCTCTCCTTTTATATATGGAAATATGCATATTGATACTAGCTATGTTAAATTATAACTTTTAAGCTTTCCCTTTGAATAGGCTCTGTGTTATTTAATAGTGTATTTCTGATGTGAGTAAAGCTCTAGCTGCTTGTGTGCATTTAAAAAAGCTACTTGAAAAAATTAGAGAGGAATTATTTTCCCCCTTTATTCTAGATTCACTCAATCGAAGCAGCAGAGTACAATGGTGTCTGGCCTACAAGCTCATTCTCTCGGTCTCTCAAACTGACCCAAGTATTAACTGGGGAACTTAGTATTCCCATCAAGTTTGAGTATAGCAATGGCCATGTTGGAAACCTCAAGGCTCCTGATTCTGTCTCAGATGATGCTCTGAACATCTACAGAGGAATTCTGAATGTGCTGGAGCTAAGTCTAAAGAAGATGCAGCATTCATACAGCTTACAAGAGGTGAGCATCTTGTTTTAGCCATTGTGGTCACTTTTGCTTCAGATTCCTAATACCATATTTTCTGAATTCATTCTTGACATAAGCTTCTTCACTAACAAACACCACCTAAGCTTGGAAAATCATGATTAAGTTGTCCTTACAGAACAAGATTTGATGGAGTTGTAGCTAAACAGGATGACTGAATAGCAGATTTTTAATCTGGTTGATCAAAGTATTTCTGCAAATGTATGTACAGTATTAGACCCTTAGAAAATCAGGCTTGTGATTCTAGAGGAAGCAAATTTTTGTAAAATTTGTGAAGCCTAAATAAAATTTGAATAGTGTATTAAAACAAGCTTAAATGTTCAGCACAAAATCAAAGCTAAAATAACAGTAATTTGACTTTTTTGCCAATCATATATAATTTAATCTCTTCTAGCTCCTCTTTTAGGAAGGAAACAGTATATATATGCCATGCCATTTTTGGGGCTGTTCAGCCTAGAGAAGAAAAGGATGCGTGGAGACCTCATAGCAGCCTTCCAGTATCTGAAGGGGGCCTATAAGGTTGCTGGGGAGGGACTCTTCATTAGGGACTGTAGTGATAGGACAAAGGGTAATGGGTTAAAACTTAAACAGGGGAAGTTTAGATTGGATATAAGGAGGAAATTCTTTCCTGTTAGGGTGGTGAGGCACTGGAATGAGCTGCCCAGGGAGGTTGGGAATGCTCTATCCCTGGCAGTGTTGAAGGCCAGGTTGGACAAAGCCTTGGGTGGCATGCTTTAGTGTGAGGTGTCCCTGACCATGGCAGGGGGGTTGGAACTTGATGATCTTAAGGTCCTTTCCAACCCTAACTATTCTATGATTCTATGATTACTGTAATAGTTTTAGAAGTTGCAGTTGATGCTGTAGGAATTCACTGTTTATCAGGTTTTAATATTTTAGTCAAGGTAAATCGTCTGATATTACTATTCACCACAGAAATTGCAATGTGTTTAGTTTTTGCAAAACCATATTTACATTGAATAGACTACATTTGATTTAGAGATCAGAAAAAAAAAGAAATTATTATACTTTCATGTTATTTTTAGTAAAAATGCAGACCAGGGTAACTTTAATATTTTTTTTAATTTGTTTTTATGTAAGTAGATTTGTTTCTGGGAAAAGAACTACATGATTTAATATTTCCACACTGTTTGTTGCACATAAAAATCCTGCTGGTGGTGTCGCATATTCTGCAGCGCTATTTTCTCATATCTCATTTTACATCTTCATTCTTTCTAATTCAGTTAGCAATATGTCGTACTCTTGCTGTTAAGCAATACATGTGACTTCACCTCCTAGAATAATTTCCAAGTTTTCTTTGCTCTTCTCAGACAGCAACTGATTAATGAGCATTGGCACCCTTCCTTGACAATCTCAAGTCACTCTGTAAAGGAAGATAAGCATTATTAGTCCCAAAATCTGAAATGCAGAGAAATTTAAAGGACTTTACCTGGAAAAGTCTATATTACATCCTGCTGCATGTAGGGCAAGGATATCTGAACTAGCCATAAACTGCACACAGCTAGAAAGTTAAGCTAGGCAGGAGGCTACTTCATCTCAGTGAGCCCAGTGGGCTGGAAGCTCTTATTTGAAGGCTAGCTGCCTCTACCACACCCTACAGTCTGCAGAGGAGCCCCACACCTGTACTCACAGAGTACCAGTCTGCCAGAAAGCATGGGCAATTCTTATTTCCAGCTCTTACTGAAGTCATAGTGTTTTTAGGAATACTGTTAAGCTAAAGATGAAGTGGGTATGTCTTGCCTCCTAACCACCACATGACTATTTTGCTGTTCTGACATAGCCCAGAGCTGCTCTCTGGAGTGGCTACGCTATAAATAACAATAAAGAAAATCATGAAAATAACCTTTCCTCCTAAAATGCAATCAAATACTTTCCTCTTCAAAAATCTCATTGACTGAGGAGGTTCAAGAGCTCTTATAAATATATATGCTTGAAATATTATTGAAGATCTGAACTAAAAATGAAAAGAAAACCCACAATCAAAACTCTGCTGTCTTGAAATTCTTTTTAATTATTGCTGTTCATATTGTGACAGATCTGATATTTCAAGGCTTGTTCCATAGGCATGTATAAACTGCCTATAAAAGCAAATTTTAAGGGAAGAATGTCATCTCCAACCTTAAAATACTTTGCTGATTAGATTTTATTCTGTATGATCAAATTATTTTGGCACTTTTTATTAATATTCCTGAAATCTTATTTCATAATCGACAGCTCCAACTGGCAACTGTTTCTCACCTTTCTGAGGCTCCAAATCTTGTCTTAGTGAAATTCTTGAGAATTTTAGTTCTCTCAGTGAAACTGATTTGGCTTGCTGGAAACCTGCACATGTGAAAAAGAGGTGAAAGTAACGATCATCCCAATTTTACTTCTGAAAAATGCCATGAATAAAAAAACATTCATTTCTATTAGGAATTTTGAAAATACAGAATTAACCAGGAAATTCCATGTGGGGAATAGATGAAGCTTTGCATAGAAGTGCAAAGCTTCATCAGTCAATTCTGATCACATTCTCTTTTTCACCAGGCTGGGATTGGAGGTATTTGTAACACAACGTATGCAATTCAGGAAAACAAGAGAGCAAATCTAGTTTATGTGACCAAATCCAAGGACCTGAACAGTTGTGAAGAGAAGGTGCAACTGCTCACAGGTTCAGCATACACTCAACCGTGCCAGGCCTGCCAGCAGGTAAATTAGAGTGGTATTATGTAAATGTATTCTATATTCATATGCAGACAGCCATTTGGCATCCACACTGTCACTTGCTTTGTAATACTTAAAAATGAGAGAAGATTCAGATCTGCTATATCTAGTTATCAACATTTTCTCTCTGTGTGAAAATCAGATCACAGAGCAGCAGAGGTCTGTGCTGCAAACTGTCATGTACTGCAGGCACACTGCAACTAGCTCAAACTAGATGGCTTGGAAACCATTAGTTATCAGCATGAGTTAATTCACCTACTCTGTTGAGTAAACAAGATAGTCATGATGTCCAGTTTCTGATCTTCAAGATAAGTACTGCTGCATCTTCATATAATTCTGCCTTTGAAATAAAAAATTGTGTGGCTTATACTGCTGCTCTCCTCAGAAAATATGTCTCCTTAAGGGAATAACCAATTGCTTATGTTTGGGGAAAGGAAAAACGAGCTAACACTTCTTAGCAGTAAAAGTGAGAGACTCACGCAGCATTCCTGACCTCTCCCATGGAAGTGTGCATGCAGAATTCACATAAACCCTCATATGGCAAATGAACAAAACAGCCCTAGAAAATGAATGGATTGAAGTGAGTGATATGATAGGTTCTAGTCACAGAATTTACAAGTTCAATGGCTCTCTTTGTTTCTTTGCTTTTTTATATTATAAAGAGAAACAGGAATTCCCGGGCAACTGCTACTTATAATTACAAAATCAAGTATACACGTAATGAAGCTGTAATTACACAAGCTGATGTTGAAGAAATCCACCAATTTGCACCCTTCAATGAGATAACAGGAGGAAATGCTATAGTGGAAGCAAGGTACTGTACATATGCCTGTAATTCACCAAATAACTCAGCATCTCAGTAATCTGGTGGAAGCAAGGTACTATACATATGCCTGTAATTCACCATATAACTCAGCATCTCAGTAATCTGGTCAAAATCCATAACTGAAATACTTTACTTCCACAGCCTATTGTTTGCCAATATTTAATTACATAAAATCCCAAACAGTTCATAAAACTTACCTTCACTGTTAGTAGTAAATCTGAAACATGCACATAACTATCCAAATTTTATTAGCTAAACTTGGCCAGGGTTCGACTATTTTATTTTACACGGATATTTGATTTATGTCAGAAAAGCCAAAACAAATGTAACTCCATCTGAAAAATGGTGAACTAATATATTTCTAGTAAATTACTTTGAAAGACAGTTACTTACTGAAAGAGAATTCCCTGGAAAATAATAATACAGTAAGAGACCCTAGAGACTTTCAGAAGAAACCTAGATTGGACTTTGGATTCTGATCTACTTCCTAAGCACAGACTGCTTGCAAATCTACCATCAAAACTGTTTCTTTATAGGAAATTGAGTTTTATTGCAGAAAGATTGGGTACAAGGCATGTAAAATGTATTTGCTTTTCCGCAGCAAATTTTGCATATTTCTCAAACAAGTTTGGGCAAAATGAGAATATGATTTTCTAAGAAATATTGCCACTGCTCATTTTTATCTTGGGCCCCCAGATTTTCAACGTTTGAAAACTTTTTCATCTATAACAACATCAGTTGAAAAAGTTTTTAGTTACCTGCTTTAGTGATGGACTCTGTAGACAGAAGTGCCCTTCTGAAGAGGGAGTTTTTTTGCATAAAAGTCACTGTACAGAAGATATACCTCAATCCCACACTTCAGTTGCTGTATTCTTGCATTGCTCCATTGCTCCTGCAAGAATCTTGTTGGTATAATGCACAGTTTTGAAAACTGCAGCATCAGAAAGTTCATGTCAATAAATCACTGATTAACTTCATTAATATGATAAGCATGTTCAGCTTGGCTAACCAACAAAAAAAAAAAAACAACCCACAAAGAAACAGTAAAGTTGAAAGTGGCTTTACATGCAATCAAGGTGGAGATAGGTACAGTTGTAGTGCTTTTATCCAATTACACTTTGTTGTAAGCATGCATTAGTCTGGAGCCAATGGACTTTTCTGATTTAAACTCTCCTGCAAGCCTGCATAGACTGTTTTTCCTCAGGTATTAAGCCCTCAGAAAGGGTAGTGCCTTTTCCCATTTTCTGTGGATCTTTTGTGTTACACAGCAGAAGGGGCCAAATATGAGACAGTTGGGAAGATGTGGATGTCACCCAAGTCTTCAGAAGTTATCTCCACAATGCACTTTCTGTGCTTAGAGGGGAAAAAAAAAATAAAAAATCTAACCTCAAGGACTTAAAACATTTGGAGCTGATTTTTCAGACTTCTTCAAAAAAAAGCCTCTTGCAGCACCTTTCAAAGTCAAGACAGGTTTTACTATTGTTTCACTGTTTTAATCCTATCTTTAGTATTCACTTACTCTTCTCTTCAGAGTATAACATTTTCCCATCTATTCTAGGCAGATATATATCTTCCTAAAATTATGAAAATGAAGACATGATAGATTCATCATGTTCTGGAAGAGAGAGTTAAATCTGTCTCAGTGTACCTGATGTTATGCTTTCTCATCCAAATGCCCTTTCAATAATATTGTGTAAAATTTCAAGAGAGAAAAAAAATCTCTGCTGATTCTGTAGCAATTTCTATTCAAATTCCAGTGGCTTGCAAAGCAGTTATATGCTATTTTCTCCAGCAGTTCTCTGCAATCCATATGGAAGGAGTAGATAGAAATGGTACAGAAGATCATCATAGAGATTCCAAAATAAACATGCCAATTTTCTATAGAGATTTTGAGATACTGTGCAGTATAGTAATATTGCTTTTGGGATGTTTTCAATTGTTCAGTACAAACGCCTAACTTTATTATAGAGTCCTAAATGACCTATTTTAAACATAATTGGGGGGATAGAATGCATCCCTTTAGCGAAGATGATAGAAAATATTTACAAAGACAGTCTCTCATTGCAGTTACTCTTAATAACAAAGGATGAAGGTTCTGTGCTCCTTGAAAAGTTTCCAAAAACTTAAGTACTTTTTGAAAGACTAATCCTGAATTTATCTGGCCCTTTTTGTTTGGGAAATCCAATTTGAAACTTCATGAGAACCTTTTATCTTCTGCAGTCCCCAGGACATTCAGCTTGCCAAGAAAAATGGGGAGGGAATTGTAATAGTGCAAGTAAAAAGATTGTAACATTTCTTATTGTATCTAACAATTTTCAATTCTTTTTGAAGCTTCCAGGAGGCACAGAGACATAAAAGCTTTTATGAACTTCTTAAAATGTTTAGATTAAGTGATGGTTTCTGAAAAAGTTTCCATCAGTTATTTTTCTATAATCCTTAATTCCCTCCTTAAGACACAACACACGGTTCCTGTGATCTTCAGGCAGCAGCTTCTCACCTCCCTCTTCATCCTTAAAATCTCAAGCCATGTTATTCCCAAAGGAAGGCAAAGGCTGGCTCTGATCTGAGCCCTGCTGTGTAAGTGATGACCTTCTCAGAGTACAGTTCTGAACATCATGTCCAAATGTAGCTGTTTTTTTCCCTCTATAACAAAACCCTTTTGATAAAATTGCAGTTGCATTGCAATGCAGGGAGGCAGAATTACTGATTTATTTTTTTATTTGTACCCTGCATCTCCCTGGGTTTCTTCATTTCAGGCAGAAACTTGCTTTGACTGATGTGCAGAAGCAAATGGCAGAGGTCCCACCAAAAGAATTTCAGGATCGTGGGTCACTTCAGTACCAGTTTGGCAGTGAATTGCTTCAGCTTCCTGTCCACTTATTCAAAATAAAAAATGTGGAAAGCCAGGTAAAGTTCAGCTACTGGATGGACTCTTTGTTGGAGCTTGGAATCTGTGCATGTGGGAAACAATTTGTGTGAGCTTCCTGCATTTTAATCCTCCTGCAGATAGAGGAATGTCTGCAAGACCTAGTAGAGACCACATCTGAACAGCTTCCCAGCGATGCACCAGCAAAAGCCCTCAAGCTTATGCATCTCTTCCGGGCAGCAAATGAGGAGGATTATGAGTCAGTGTGGAAGCAGTTCTCCAGCCAGCCAGTGTATAGGTACAAGCAATACAAGCAGTGATTCTTGTGCTGACAAACTCTTGAAGGCCATCTGGAATAATTATGTTCAAATGCAGATCTGGAAAATGGTCCTTGCCTTTCCCATTACAGGCGCTACATTTTGGATATAATTCCTGCAGTTGCCAGTCACCGTGCACTCAGGTTCTTGAGGCATAAAATGGAAAGGCAAGAACTCACTAACTGGGAAGCAGCTCAGACAGTACTTGTGGCTCTGCACTCAAACACACCAACTAGGGACACAATGGAGGAAGCAACGGTAGGATACCCTAGACACTCTCTAGTCACTCTTTACTGATTTTAGCATCTGTTGTATTTGTTTCTTTGAAAAGATGGCAAAGGCTTTGAAAATATAAAGGTTTTATGTTCTCTAATTGTGTTGAAAGGAGTTTATTTCCTGTCTGTCTTAAGGGGAGGAGAATGCAAATCAAAGGGGGAAAAATGAATCCGGAAAGAAATGGGAAAGACAGAGTAAAAATACCCCTCAGGGACAGAAGTTATTTCTGCAAACAGTGGTGTCTAGTGTTCCTTTGTCCAAATGTACTTTATAGTTACATCAGATTAGAGTTCTAACTGAGTGTCTACAAAGACTAGGGAGTAAGAAACACATATTTGTTATATCCGTCTATTTGTCCTGATTGACCTAACAGAATGGGTATAAATCAGAGCAGATCTATCAAAATCAAGGGAATTATGTCAGTGTGGAGCCCATGTGGGAGAAAGTCCAATGATTTTTACAATTTTTCACTCTTCTGCAGGGTTTAATTCTATCTTCAGATGCAGGAGCTTATCTCTGCCTACCCCAGGTAGAGAGCATGAATCTCAGACCAGAGTTTTGCTCTCTGTAAAAGCCATGATAGCCTGGCTGTTACTGCGCAGTAATGCTCTACTTCCCACTCAAGGAAGCAGTGGGCTGGTGCCTCCTGTCAGCTCCTACATTTATATGAAATATTCCTGTCTGCCCAAAGTACTGAGGTCCATTCACAGTGTACCTCAAGGTTTTTGTACCTATAGCTGAAGCAATTATAAAACAGTGATGAATGCTTCCTGAATAATGTGTGTTTTTCCATTCCATAACTGGGTGATTTCCTCCCTTTGGATTAAAGTCTATGCCAAATTTAAATCTGAAACACTATAAAAGCAACAGATCAGTCTTCCAGATGTTACTTGGAATTACTTTATGTTTGCATTGTCAAATATAGTAATATCCACTGATTTAACTGTAAATACATTGATACAAAAATATCAATAGCCTGGTTTTACCTTGCATTTGGCAGAAACATATTTTTTTAATTTTTTTGCTTTTTGTTAATGGTGGTAATGAACAACTGCTTTCTTCCCAGCTCATTGTGAAAAAACATTGCCCACGCTCAAGTACTGTACTTGGAAAGGTTTGCTATCTCAGCTATGCGTCACTGTGCCACAAACAGTGCTCTTCATCAGACTCCTGCTCTGAATGTCTCCAGGTAACCATATTGTTATTTATCTTTTAAAAGAAAAATTAAACCATGAGTTCTTTCTTCATTATTCAGAAACCTGTATTTCACTTCACTACGGTGTTTCCTTTGGGGAAAGGAACCCCAGTTGGTTAACAACAGAATTTTTATCTCTAGATTAACACAAGAAAGAGAGAGGAAGAAGCGCATAATTCATAGAACTTTCTATCTGAGTATCTCTGAGTGCTTTACTGCCAATTAGTAATGAAAGAGCATGGCACTGTTCTGAAATACTTTAAATATAGGTACTTATACATACTTATAAATAAACTAAGTGACACAAAAGCCCATGTTTTTGCCTGGAGTCATGTAGCCCAGCCATTGCTCAGCCAGAAACAGAGCCCAGTCATCCACACAGGCTATAAGCTTTAAATAACAGTAATACCCTCCCTGTTCTGCACTGCTTTTAACCAACAAGCCTGAAAACAATTTAAATAGGTAGTAAATAGCATTTGCTGTTTCTAGAGATGCACATCATGGTATACAGAGGTTGGCCACTCAGCAGTGATAGAGAGGGAAAGAGAAACAGGTGTTTTCTTTAACACTGGTCGGTCCACCTACCCCAGTAAGAGCAAGATGTGCCTGCCATGATTTTTTTCCTGTAGTACAGAGGCATGGCCAATATTTCTACATGTGTTTGTTGTGTTATGATTGCCACCAATGCTCTTGAGCTAATTAAATCTGAAAAGAACAGTTTCAGGAATGGAAATTCTTTCCCAAAGCAAATGATTGTATACGCTTATTCAATGCATTCCAAATATCCATTCATGTTATTAGTAATATCAAATAGACTGTTTCTGCACCATCAATGGATCTCAAATGTGGTATTTTATAACATAGGAACTGTATTGAAATTATTCTATAACATCTCAGGGGGTTTTTTTAGAGCCATTAGTTAACACTAAAACCTGTTCTCTATTAGGATTTAGTTCTTATATTCAGCCTTCACACAACTACTTCTAATCTGGCCACGTGAATATTAGTGTGATCAAGTTGCTTACAACAAAGGCTGTGAGATTACCTGATTATCTTGTTGCCAGCTATTAATCCATACTAAAAAGTGGCTGTTTTAGCTGAAGTTTAGAGCATCTCCAGTAGCCATATCTTCAGGGGTCTTGTTTAAGGATCTGAAGAATTTAGCTGTATCTACATTTTGCATCTGTCTTCAGCCAAGAGATATTCAAACAGCATTATTGCAGGGTTCCCAATTCACCCCAAAAGGCAGTGGGAACTAGCTCCTAACCATTATTTTACATTTTAAAGCTCTTACTTGATAACTTTAAGGCACAGTGATGAAGAAACTGTTCATTGCAGCATTCTTGGCTATGCTTATTCTATGAATAAAATGTCCTATTCATGAGGACAAAAATAATTTGAAAATATTTAAAGTAAGTGAATCGAACAAACTGAAATTATCAGAGTCAAACCTCAAAATAGGCTGGGAGGTGGGATATAGATAAGAGCTGGAATTGAACTCAACAGAAAATCTGGGGTTTTTTTTCAGCTACTTCATGGCTTTGCAGGAGAGGCACTGAGCAAGTCTAACCCAGAAGAAATTTCCCTGGCTTTGAAAGCCCTTGGGAATGTAGGACATCCAGCCAGCATCAAGCACATCAAGAAATTTTTGCCAGGATATGCAGCTGGTGCCTCAGATTTGCCTCTCAAGGTCCATGCAACTGCTGTGATGGCCCTGAAAAACATAGGCATGAAAGATCCAAAATTGGTAAGGAAACAAAGCTGCCTCCTTTGCACCTATGACAACCAAACATAAGGCTGATTATCAGTAATGGGTGATGATCAGATTTTTTCTTTTTTTTTTTTAATTTTTTCAAGTATACCTTTAATATGTTGTGGGTTTTTTTAAATACTTAGTCATTCCTTAGTTGGTATGTCTTATTCCTTTTGACATTAATCTCTAGTATTTCAGACTGCAACAAAAATTCCATTAAGATGATACAATCATTACCCTATTATTGAAGACAAATCAGTATTTCCATTGCAAACATTTATTTTCTAAGGGCATTAGACAGAAAGCTAAATTATTGACCAAAATGTGTTTAGTGCTACTTCAACTTTGGTATGTGAAAAAACCACAAAACAAGGTTTTCTGAGAATTGACATTTAATGCTGTCACATCTAATTGTAATTCAAGACCAGATCTTACTGTAAATAGATACTAGAGGTTTGCATCCTAATTACAAATTTACAGACATTGTGTGGGTTTAAGTCATAAGCAGAACATTTACTAAATGTGACTTTTGTCCCTGAACGGGGTAATGATTAGATATCACATACAACGGTTACTCTCATCCACCACAGACATCACTTTACAATCGTTTTCAGTTTAAAACAAACTGCTTCAAAAAGAAAACCTTGCATTTTCAAGATATTTTTTTCTGATACTGATTTTTTTTGTTTTACATAAGTCTATTCTTAATGTAAAAAGTAAAAGAAAAGCTCTCATTAACTATTCTGCTACTAATCTGTATCAGTTTTTCCATTATACTCAGTTTTTGCATATGACTCCCAGTTTGAGTGCACATATTGATCCACAGACAATAGTGTGCCAGGGTATGCTTTTAAGCTAAAGAATAAAGTAACAATTTACCAGAGTGCAGCAGCTAGACAGGGAAAAGTGGGAGGAGGAGAGAATAGCAAGGGTAGGAGATAAAAAGCCAGTTTGGTTTTTGAAAATGATGCTGTGTCTCTGATTGCCCTTTGGCCTGGCTTTCCACATGTGACCCAGACCACTGCTTAGTTTAGTTCTATTTTCTTTGGAGAAAATTGATCTGGAGAAAGTCAATGCCTGTGGCTGGATTTTTCATTGTTCAAAACTAGTTTAATGCTTCGTTTGCAGCTAGCTACACACCCATATTTGCATTAAACAGACTTAATACACAGTCTCCTTTTTCTATTTGTATGTTTAATTTGAAATGGTAGTAACATTTAGAAAGAGGTTACTGCATCATTGTTACCACTTTTACCTTGGTATTTGATAATCAATGTATTTAAATCGATAAAACCAATCAGAGTGCTTCCAAAATTTGTGGGAGTTTCCTGGATCAGACTTTCATCAGAGAGCTGGGTGTGCACTGTCACAGTCAGGGCAGGACTTTGCAGAGGGACTACCAGCACAGTGTTACACCATTTGCATCCATTTTGAAGCCGGGGTAAAGGCTTCAGTGCAACTCGTGGAAACTGCAAAGGTTCCAGTACAAAATCAGTCTTGATACTGAGTATTGCTGAGGTCAAACATATTGGTCACAAGTAGCACTGTGGAAATTACATTTGTTGTATAAACTTTCAGTTTTAAGCTTCCTAATTGGCATAGAGATTTCTGGTAATAAACTGGATTTTATTAATTTCATTTTCATTCCTTTATTTAGCAGAAGTGGCCCAGGAGATCAAATGATTAGAAATAAGGCATATCTTTATGGGTAGGGATAAGTGATCACTGAAACCCCTTCTCAGGTGTGTAATGGATCCATGAAATCTCTTTTACCTAGAGTGGTTATGCTCCAGATATTTTGCTATAGCTCAAAAAGAGATAATGATCTTGATGTAGAAGTTATCCAGCAAAGTCTGATTGTGTAGGAAGTCAGACTACATTACCATAATGCCTCTTACAGCCCTCAGACTGTGAAACCAGGCCCAGTATTGCCATAAGTATTAAACAATACAAATTTCACTGGTGATGAATGGTTATTTGCAAAATGTTCAAACACACTGTAAATTTGAGTGCATCTATTATTTTCAGGTCCAGGCTATTACCCTTGAGATTTTCCTGAATCAAAAACTTCATCCTCGGGTCCGAATGTTAGCTGCAGTGGTTTTGCTTGAAACCAAGCCAGGTCTTCCAATACTAATGACACTAACTGATGCTGTTCTGAAGGAACCTAGCATGCAAGTGGCAAATTTCATCTACTCTCACGTGAGGGCCCTGGGTAGGAGCACAGCTCCAGATCTTCAAGCAATGTAAGGAAAATCTGGATCCCTTTCTTAGATGAAAAACTAATTGCAAACTAATTGAAGTGCTAATGTGCTCACTGAATTTTTCCAGGGCTTCTGCCTGCAGAATGGTCATCAGAGCATTAAGTGCTAAATTTGACAGATCTGGGTATCAGTTCAGCAAGGTTTTCCGGTTCAGTATGTTTAAAGGTAAGATTCAGAAGATTTTGTAGAGATATATATACAGTTCAATGAAAAAAAATTGTACAGTATGAGAACCCAACCCTCTTAGCCAGCTGTTTAGCTGCATGTTGCTCCTCCCTATTCTCTCATGTTCCATGAATAAATAAATAAATAAATAACAATCTCAGGCTTTCCATTTGGAGAGTGATTATGTCCCCATGTGTTTTGCATTGTACACTGCCAGCATGAAATTACCAGAGGACTTGTGGGGCTCTAACCTTCCATTTTCATTAGCCAGAGAGGCACATGCTCCTGTATCTAATGCTGTAATCTCAGTGGTGCTTAGTAATTTCATACTATTGTTCAGCACCAAATAAACAGAAGGGACCTAAATTACTGCTGAAGTGAATTAATTTCTATCAGTGCTGAACACCTACAACTCTTACTGAATTCAAATATGATGCTAAATAATCTTCACCCCCAACAGTAGTGCCCAGTGAAAAAGAAACTGCAGATGTGACAATTCATTGCACCCATAAGCAGTTAACTCAGGTTTATTGTCTAAAGATTTTTCTTGCATCTTGCTACCAGGATTCTTTCTTGGAATGAGCAGATCCACATATGGGATCTGGAGGCCGATCAGTTACATCAATGGGAGCTGCACATGAAAATGTAGTCAGGAGGGCCAGATTAGAAGACAGCTTTTGCTAGGCCAAATTGTAGCTATTTCTATTTTCCATGTGTGTTATTTTTCTCAATAGAGATTTTTCAAGCAACTCACCTATGTAAATGACCATGACAGCATCAGTGATTTGGCCTATGTAGGTGGCAGACTCGGGAGATCATATCTACCAACACAGTCTCCTTACGCATGCTGTTTATCTAAGAGCACCTGGATGGTTTTAGTGTTTTTGATATTCACTGGTACATGTAAACATTATTTTCAAAGTGATCAACAGAAAAAGAGACTCTGAAACACCTGAAATCCACAGTGCTAAATGTACAAGTTCTTTTGCCTTCTTTACAGAGGGAGGGAAGTTGTTTGAAAGATTTCTGTAGATCTTATTGTTTCCTGCCCCTGTTTCATCATTTTTACATGACCGTTTAAACTGCTTAATAACAAAAATAAATGTAATACATAGCACAACAATCACAATAATAAATGATATATATACTTGCTGCCTCAAAGGCGGAGACAGCACGCAAATAAATACAGTCACTTTTTTACCATTTAAAATGCATTCAGGGAGCAATACATTTTCCAGTAATAGGCAGATGTGTGTTTCTAGTTTTAGCTACTCATTTTCTCATCCTATTTTTGCTTTTAAAATGAGCTATCTGGATTTTCACACAGTGAAAAAGAGGGGTGCAATATGCATGAAGGTAGCTGGCAGAGGGACATGTGAATGGCATCTGTCAGACATGGTCACCACAAATAGTGCTTCCTGCTCTACACACTGCCACTGAAATCTAAGGGATGACACAGCTTCTGCTTAATGTGGGGACTGATGGAATCTGACTCTCAGTATGCACAGACTCATATAATTAAATCTGTGTACTAATGTTCACAAGTACCAAAGACAGCTTTCTTTAATCACTGATATTTTTTTCCCCCTTCCCCAGGGCAAGACATTTAGCCAGATACATCCAGGTGCCATCACATTCTCATAGTAAAGTGGTTACAGTACATGATCTGACTGTATCAGTTGGATTTTCCATTGAGAGACATTGTCTGGAGTGAGGTGTCCCTGCCCATGGCAGGGGGGTTGGAACCAGATGATCTTAACATCCTTTCCAACCCTAACCATTGTATGATTCTATGATGAACATTAGCGCTGTGTGAATGCCCAAGGTATGGAAAATATCCACACCCTCTTCTATGCCATGGGAGTTGTCACAAATACTCGTATTTTGATTGTAAGAGCTGTTATTGAACCAGTGTGTTTTAGGTAGGTAGTGCCTAGCACTTTGGTTAGCACAGGAGCTATATACAGCAAAATGGTGAAAGTGATTTAGTGAAATGCCAGTTCATACAGATCTACTAGGCTAAGTGGCTTGCTTTTCCAACAAACTATTCCTCAAATGCACGAAAAGTTGGAATCTGCCATGATAACTTAGAAATAAAAATTAGTCCTAGCAATCTGACAGGAAACAACTGAACATGAGGAGATCATCTAGATCCCTATCTGCATGCATGGATTCAGAAGAGAATAAGACAGTGTTGACTCACAAGTGAGATATTATCTGAAACCCAGAGAGCGGCATTAGAGAAGTAATATGGGTGTGAGTGTTCATAACACCCCCATTTGTGAACCAAGAATAATCTTTTCTTTAAATTTTGGCTAAATAATTTATGAGAATTTATGCACTGCTTTTCTGGGAAGAGGTCAGAGATTTACTCCCTTTCATAATATTTGAAAATATATTCATCAATAATTTCCGTGCAGGCACTAAAGTTATTGGTCTGGATCTTCCAGGGTTCTGCAATTGTTCTGCCTGTACTGGTTTTCCAAAGCTTATTTCTAGTGGTGCTAGGATTTAATAAATATTTGGTGCCCATGTCTAAAATGAGAATAGCAGAAAGTTAACACAGGGACTCCTAAAATACTTCCCAGTCTTCCAGCTAGTGTAGGATGAGGAGAGGAGGGCTGGAAAAAAGGAAGAATGACAGAGATGCCTACATATCATGCCAGCCTTGTTCCTCTTGAAACCTATGGAAACTTAGAAAAGCCTTTGGATTACTTAACTCAGAAAACAGGACTGTATAGACCTGTGCCAAGATCAGGAAGAATAGGTGACTGTGTTCTGCACATAATATCTGTATCTAAGAGCATTATAGATGACAAATCTAATGTAGAGAACATGAATAGACTCAAACTATGTTTACTCAAAGTTCACTCAATAGTTAACAATTAATTAACAATTAGTACATTTCATCTAAAGAGTTACAGAATTTGGAGCTAAATGTATTAAATTGCCTCTGAGTCATTTGAGAAACAAATCTACACCTCACCATCTGTCCTTATAGGACATCTATATCACTTTCCCTAAATGATTAGCAAAGGATGGCAAATCTGTTTTCATTTCAAATCCCCTTTGTCAAGTTGCCCTAAATGATATCTCATAAAAGCATTTCATAAGCTGATGTTACAGAATCTGAACGGGTGTAAATGACATAGCAGAAGCAACTGGAAAAATAACCTAACCACCATGCAACGAGCAGGGGACTTGTAATTTTACCCACTAATAGTTAAAAAATGCAGAATATTCTGTTTATAATTGGTTTATAACATCAGTTTTATAGCTCGGTTTTCTGGCCTTTCTCATATTGTGCTGTATCAGTTGAATTATGCAATTAGTAAATTGATACAATCTGTGTACTGTGGCTTTAAAAACTAACTGTGATGTATCTTACTGCCTATTTCTCTTCAGAGATCCTTATGAGTGGACTGGCAGCTAAATATTTGGTATTGAACAATGCAGGCAGTTTAATTCCAACGATGGCAGTGTCCCAGCTGCGGACACATTTCCTAGGCAGAGTTGCTGATCCCTTGGAGGTAACTCGGTCTACCTGCAGTTTACCCTCTTATCCCTTGTTACAACCATCATCCAGTTAGCATTTACACTTTACTTCTTCCTGCAGGTTGGAATAACAGTTGAAGGACTGCAGGAGATATTTGCTAAAAGTTACTCTCCTGACAGGGAGTGGGAGACCAACTATGACTTCAAGGAAGTCCTGAAAAAGGTAAATTCTCAAGGAAAAGAGAATCTTTAAGGTATTGCTACCTGAAATGTTATGAATAATCAGGCTTTCTTCTTCTTCTCATGCAGCTCTCTGACTGGAAGGCATTCTCCAGTGACAAACCTTTTGCATCAGGCTACTTGAAGATGTTTGACCAAGAGCTGTTTTTTGGTGGACTTGATAAAAACGCTATTCAAAATGCATTGCAGGTATAGTTTTGAAAACACCACCATCCACACATCAAATGCTTGAAAATTTTATGCTTTCACAAATTCTGACTCTTTTTTTAATTTCTGATTTCAAGAGGGTGTTTTGTCTTTAGTATTAATAAGGTCAAGCTATAATCATTGCCAGCAGTCTTTCCTCTGAGGCATATTTAATGACATGCATCATGATATTCAAGTTCTGCTTATTTACGCAGTTTGAACTCTGTAACTGCAGGCATGGTATGGACCTGAAGAAAAAATCCCTTCGATAAGGAAAATAATCAGTAGCCTTCAAAGTGGTGTAGCAAGGCAGTGGACCAAGGCCTTACTCTCCGCTGAGATCCGTCGTATTGTGCCCACCTGCACTGGGTTTCCAACAGAGACAAGCTTCTATTACTCTTCCATCACAAAAGTAGCAGGGAATGGTAATGGATTTCAAGACCTGAGCAATACAAACATTCTTGTCAGGATTGGAGGGGATTTTTAACACCTTTTTTTTTTTTTTTCTCTCTCTGTAATAGTTCAAGCACAGATTACACCTTCTCCAAAATCTGATTTCAGATTGACTGAATTACTAAATGCCAATATTAGGCTGCGATCCAAAATGAGTCTAAGGTAAATATTTAGTATAAAATAAAAGAATGTTTCCAAGCGACAGAGGCCATAAAAATTTACAGCTGTCTGAAGATAATCTTACCTGCATTCTACCTTTTCAGTATGGCTAAGGAGATGACCTTTGTGATGGGGATCAACACACACATAGTACAAGCAGGGCTGGAAGCACACACCAAAATAAATGCTCATGTACCTGTGAATGTGGTTGCCACTGTCCAGATGAAGGAAAAAAATATCAAAATTGAAATTCCACCATGTAAAGATGAGACTAACATAATTACTCTAAGGTAAGACATAGCACTTATTATCTTTCTTTATAGCAATGCAGAGTCTACAAATAGAACAGTTGCTTGTCTTTGAATGACAGCTTGGGTAACTGGCAATGATCATTGTAGTTTATTTGTTTTAAATGAAGTGACATGTACCAAAGCTTTCCTTGAAAATATGCATTACTTCCTTTGGCTGCCACCTGAGAATCCTCTTTAGGACTATTTCTCAGTTACTGAGACCCATAAGCTATTTGAAACACAAATGGCATAAAATTTCTAATCCAGTGCATATATTTGGACTGGAGAAATTAAGTAAGATATAAACCAGATGAATACTATCATTTATAACAGATAACCCACATATATTTGCATTTGATGCCTTGAAGCAGAGAGGATTTTGTGTTTCTTGTGTTTTTATCTTGTTTCCCTGTGGCTGCCATTTGGTTTTCTTACCTGTTAGATTTACTTGATTCATTATCAGTGCATGCAATTACAATACACTCTGGAAAACTGTTGTAGCCAGATGCCAAACAAATGAAAACAGATGGAAATACAAGTACAAAGAGAGGGAGGAAACAGAAAGAGTATGTCCAAGGAATCAAAGCAGTAGACCAAAGAAAACCTTTACACATACACATGAAAAAATACTGAGAAAAACAAGCAGAAAATTCATCACACAGGAAAAAGCATCACTGACAACAGAAATCAGCTATTATACAATCCGCTGAAATGTTAACAAGTTTCTACTTTAGGAATACAGCCGTAACAAAAGAGCTCAGTTGCTTGATCCAGCTGCAATTAGCATTCATGGCTGCCGGCCCAGAGAAGCTCTGCAGGTCCCCCAGTTTAACCACCAGTTAGGCTAATCATTATTCTCCCTTGCCCTTTAATGGTCACAGACCATCCTAAGTAGACATTTACCACTGCATACTCCTCCCTAAGATGATCCCTCTACTCCATCAAATGTGATTGTAATCAGGTTCTCTGTGCAGACTGGGGAAGGTTTGGGCAGTTCATAGAGCTAAAATTAGCTGTGCGTTTTCTTTTGTTCTGTTTCTTGTGAAGACCAGGGCAGTCTGCTCCCAGGGTCATCAGGACAGCAGGCACCTGCTCTCCCTAGCCCTCAGTGTTGGAGAGGGTGAGGTGGTTATTAATGTGCTCAATAAGGATGCTGGACTGAGAATTTTGAACACTGATAATGGAGTTCAGAGCCCAAAGCAGAGCTGCAGGTATTAGCAGAAGGATCCTCCCTGCAAAGCAAAATAAAAATATTTTCCTCCTTTGACTTAAGGGGAAATCAAATCAGACACAAAAAGGGTTAAATGCATTGCAAGCAAGTCAGTATCACACACGAGGGATTACAGCAGAGAAGTCCATGAGTTCCAGCACAAGCACTGTTTTAGACCCTGCAGCATTATCATTTATAAAGCAAAGTAGTCACTCAGAAATAGCTCTATAATGCTAAGTATATGAGAAAACTAATATTCACTAGCTAACTTTTAGTACCATCAAATTTTCTCCAAAAAGCATTCCTGTTCACTGTTACAAAACAAATGGTCAGTGGAAACCACACACAACAATGAAAAAGCAATGACTATAAGTGAAGGTAAAGCAATAACTAGCAAATATAACATTGAACCACATCACTGGCGAGGTCAAAAACCAAGAAACGTAAAATCTCATGGGTATGAAGAGAAACAAGCAGGCATGATAGAGAGAGAAAGCATACATGTGTATTCCATATAGAGCGAGTCAGTTTTACATAGACTTCCTTTTGCATAAATCCTCTAAAGAATAAAGGACTGTTGAATTCAATATTTTAGAGATATTCTGACCACTTCCTTTGTTAGCTTTAAATATCCCATTTAAAGAAATGTTTCCAGAAGCTATTGCTCTTTCATTTGTTTGTGAGCTCTCTTAAAAACATTTTAGCATTGGGTACTTTGTCTTGGTGGTCAGTGGGGTACATTCTCTAGTACTATGTCATTACAGGTAGTAAGGATGTGATTTTATTTTCCCCTTCATCTCTCAAATCCAGACAAGGGAAGCAAACAGTCTTCAATAGCATTAAGGTTGGTTATATCCTACACACCGTACAGGTTATAACCTGTCACAGCTGTGGGATTTATATAAATTTTCAAGAGCTGAAGAGAAACTCAGGTGGGCTATCACAGACTCAAAAGAAAAAAATAATGAAAACTTTGGTGATAGAGAGATTACATTCCCAAGATAAATCAGCACATTACAAACTCAACTTTCTTTACAGAAAAATCAGAGCAAAATAATCACTCATACCCTAGAGAGAATATATGACGTGTTTCAATTCAATCCTATCAAAGTTAAATTTAATTAAAATTAATAGTTATTTTTAAGACTCTTTTAACATAATTATTTAGCAGATGGCTACTTAAACATACTTTTTAATAAAATTTGCAAGAAGAAGTAAAAATCAAATAAATTTCAGGGAAAATTAGAGCCCTGTGATTAAAGTATAAATATGGAGAGCTGCCAGGAAATGCACTTTGCAAATATATCATATATTTATAATGACACGCTACTGAAGTATATACATAGCTTGAATACAGCTTGTATCACAGAGTTTTTTGCTTGTTGTAACTGTAGGATAAGCACAAATCGTTTCACATAGGCATTTTATCAGATGAATTATGAAATTACAGCACTGTGTGCGACATGTATACAACTCATGCAGCTGAAAATGCAGAAGAGCCAGTGAACACTGTGAGCTCACAAGGCAGCATGGTGTGTTTGGAGAGGAAGAAGGGAAGTGCCTGGTACTTCAAGTTGCTGGTTTTATAACACCTTTCAACCAAGGTCAGAAGGATGAGGCATAGGAAAGGCAGAAATTTTCGTCTTGCCAGAGCAGAAAGAATGTTAAAGATCTGGTTGGAGGAGAGTCACTTGTTCCTCATTTATCTAGATACAATTTCATGCTGTGCTTTAAAACCTGGGAAAAAAAGTTTTTTGCTGTTTTGTTGTGTTGTGTTTTTTTTTTTGTTGTTGTTGTTGTCGTTGTTTTTTTAAACACACATTGAGCTCTTTTGTCGCCATGTTAAGGACGTATGTAAGGCCATGCTCACTGAACCATTAGTAGGCCCAACACAGCTGAATTGCTTGTCCTTTACCCCTGCAGTGAATTTGGCTTATATTATAGCACAGCTTCTTCTCTCATCTGAAAAATACACTAATACATATGGGAAAATCTCCTTTTTATTTTTTCTCCCTTGTGTGAGATCAGAGAGTACAGATTCTTTCATACCATAGCTTTAGGCCTTCTTTGTGAGTGTTTTTCTTGTTAAAGCACCAGAGCTGGCTCTTGTAGCCTATTTTTACTGTGCCGTGTGATTCTGCAGACATTGACATGTGTCACCTGTGATGCAGCTACATTTGTCGGCTCTCTGTGCTCAACAGGGAGCAATCGATCCTCCACTTTCATTAGGTGGCAGAAGTAGACTATTGGCATAAAAAATACTACAAAAATTGGTAAAGAAACCCCAGGGCTTTCTGCTTGGAGACCCAGCCTGCAGTTCAGTGGTCATTTGAATTATTGAATGGGATTAAAATAAAAAACATTTTCTTTTTTGTCTCTGTACCCAGATGAGCCATCTGAAATGCAAGTTGATTTGTATTTTCTTTCATCCCCTCAGCTTGTTAGGGAGAATACTCTATTTCAGATTCCATTCTTCAAGGTTCTCCTATCACCCAGCGTGGAGCGTTGCTGTCATGTCCTTGTCTAAAAAAAGAAAGAGATGGCAAAGAAAACAAAGCCCACTGGTGGCACATATTTTATTGAGGTGTTCCATGAGAAGAGCAATTGTGTGCTTTACACTGCACACAGCACGGTAGGAGCCTTCAAGAGGAAGAGAAGGCTATCAAATGAATACAAATTCATCTTTCAAATAGGTTAGACTGGAATTGCTTAGGCTACTACCATGTGGACCGTATTAAAATAGAGACCATTTTGCAGACCGTCTTTCCATTCAGTGTCACAAAAACCACCTCCATTGGCAGACCACAAAAGCCCCGGGGCAAGCAGATCAACTTCATACTTGAGAAACAGCACGTGGGGAATTCTGAGCTGGATGTTAGCACTGATAAATGGCTAATAAGGTAGAGTTAGCACTTTAATAGCTGAGAGAAATAGGTTTTCATCTCTCAAAACTGTTCAGTGTTGAAGACGTTTCTCTAACCCGAACCAAAACTCACAGTTATCACAGCACTATAACAACTTCCACGAAGATCATGAGGTATGGAGCTGCGGGGTCAGGATATTTAGCAGTGAGAGTCTCAGTCTCATGCTGCACCTTATGTCACCCTTCTTGAGTCCTGACTAATACTGTTAGAGTCCACAACACTGGAAACAATGTTCTGAGCACATTTACATAAATAGGCTCTTAACCTTTCTACATATCTCTCTGTGATATCTTGTCAAGACATGGCCAGTGAATTTAAATCAAGCTGGAGACACTTTATTTTATGATTTCAGGTTCCTTTCTTTAATTTTGCATTAACAAAAGTTGTATAGGAAGCAGATTTCTGTAGCTACCCGTCCCCTAGGTTGTTTTTTGAAGTTATGGCAGTATTTTCCCAGATATAATGTCAAAGAAAATGAGAAATAAGTAAGTTTAGCAGTGAACACACAGAAGATGAGTTTAAAAATTTAAAAGTCCAGAAGATCAAAATAGAAGACAAAAAATTCAATAATCTACAGACACGCTTCAAAGTGGTCTGTTCTTCAAGGTGTTAGGCTTACAGACATCTCATCAACTGCAGTGCTTTTAATCTGTACATGGGATTCTAAAAGCCTAACCGAGATGTCTGCCTCTGAGATTGGTCTGTGCCTTTATTCAGTCCTAGCAGTCCCTGAAAATACAACAGGAAAGATGCTGTAAATATCTGTAAAGCAATTTGCAAGGTATGACACTTGTTGCTGAGTACGTGCTACAAGGCATTATTCAGGTCTTTTCCTCAGCAGTGCTCTATCAATACAGGTTTCCTTTAATGTTTTTTCTGCAGGTCTAAGACATTTGCTGTTACAAGAAATATTGGGGATTTGGATGCTAGTAAGATGACTCCAGTTCTTCTACCTGAAGCAGTGCCTGACATAATGAAGATGTCCTTTGATTCAGATTCTGCATCCGGCGAGACTGACAACATCAGGGTAAATTATGTAGTGTCTGACTATTCTTTTGGGGGCTTTAAATCAGTGGGGGCCGTTTCTTTTCTCCCTAGTAAAATGTATAATGCATCTCTGACCAAATAAGTACCTCAAAATAAGTCAGGTTCAAACTAATAGCACAAATAGCCCTATAGTAATATTATTTTAAAATCTGGAGTGTAATACATCAGACTTGCCACACTTTTTCAAAAGTAGAAACATTTTCTTTGTTAATTAATTTTACACTGCCATCTACAGGATAGGCCCACAATCTTTAAAATACTTTGCAACTATTATGCAAGCATCACATTCCCAGGGTAACCACTAACACAAGACACTCCATTGCTCAACTTGTAGAACCAAATTTAATGCTTTTAAGCATCCTGATTCACGGATGAATGGCAGTTTGTGTGTCAAGTCAAATGGCTTCCTGAGCTGCAGTTTTCAGTAGCAGCCAGCACAGGCTTTCTATGATGGGCAGAGTTGTGAAGGCATTACCATGATAATCCATTCAGGGAAAGACTGACAGAGGTGAGGGATACACTGACCTGTTCTGGTTTCATTGCTGTCCTGCAGCTCTGAAGGGTCTTCACATAAAATGAGAGATGAACAGAGGATGAGTATGGCACTTTCGTATGGAGAAGTCAATAGACAAATGTACTTTCATTGGCAGAAGTTTCTAATATTGTGGAACAAGTAAAGTTCTGCTTCATGCCTCTGTGCTGCCCTTCTGAAAACTCAGCACTCTGCAGTTATTCTTAAATAAACTGCAATTGAAAAATGGCATTTACTGAAGCATTCCACAGTATCATTAGAATTTCCTTTGGAAAGCAAATAACATTAAAACTCCAGTTTTTAATTTGTTTTTCAGTGGGATTCATACAAGTTTGGAATGTTGTGAAACATGGTAAACTGAGTAAAAAATTAATTCCAAGCCTGTATTACATGTGAAATGAAAGCTTATGATTACAGGTCTTTAGCTACTTGCTTCGTTGCTCCAGGAAGTCATAGTTTTCATTTCATGGATTTGATTCCAGTTTTAATTAATCATAATTTTTCTGCAAGCATTACTTAGCACATGTATAATTCCATATTTTTTAGCAGAAATTTCGAACATCTGATATTCTTTGACCATCTAGTTAATGAAGTCTCCTATTCATGTCAGACCTCAACCAAGACAGAACTTTCATGCACACAGATGAAGATTCTGTTGTTTGACGCAATCAGAAATCAAAGCAAAGAACTCCAATCAGTCTAGAGCACTCTCAGATTCATCAATAACCTGTTAACACTGTCTAATACTTCAGGAAAACAAAATTAAATATTTAGAATTACTATGTGATATAATTCTCCATTCTTATAACCTGAAGCTCTTTTTACACTAGATAGTCTAATCAAGCCATTCAACTAATAATTTTGTCCAGTTGAAAACCAAGTTATCTTATGTCACAGCATTGCTATCTCAATAAACTGATTAATTCCTCCTGCAGAACATAAGTAACTATTATCAAAACAGCATGACTCATAACACTCAAATATTCCTCTTAGTGTTGTCCAGTTTAACTTGACATCTGTATTATCTAATAGGACAGGCAGTCTGCAGAAGATGCTTCACTGGGAATTTACTTTGGACGTTCTTCTTCCCGAAAAGAGCCATTTGTTCAGTCCATGTGCTCCAATGCAAGTACATTTGGGGTTCAAGTGTGCATTGAAAGGAAAAGCGTACATGCTGCGTTTATAAAAAATGTGCCTCTTTATTACCTAGTTGGAGAGCATGCCTTTAGAATGAGCTTCAAGCCAGGTAAATACAACCATAATGGGTGTGTAAGTAAGGGTGTGTATATGCACATGCACATTTGTAGATACACGTATCTTTTATGTATTAAGTACCACTAAAACTACCATTAGACCTACCACCCCTGCTGGTAGTACACAACAGAGTATGCTTGTAGCAGGAATCCATTTCTCCCCTACTCATCCGAGGAGCGATGCCTCACCTCTCCTAGCAATGCCGCTCAGCATGGCCGGCGTCAAGCAGAGCTGATCTGTGCCTGCAGAGCGTGTCTGATGCATCCTGAATGATTGGATTTGGGATTCAGGCACAGAGCAATTGGACATGGGCAACAGATCTGATGCAGTGTCCTGTAGCTACACTCTAAAAACTAGGCTTTTAAAGGGAATTATGGATTAACCCTGCCAGGATCTAGTCCTTAATGTCTTAATCCATGACCATAAGAAGTGGAAGCATGGGAGGCCACCAAATCTAGATTTCCTAAGTATCAAAATGAATGGCCTAACCATTGGGTCATTTTTACTGTTCGAGAGTTGAGCCTCAATTCCTCCATGATGCCTAATTCACTATCCCATACTACATTATGTAGTTAAGCACTTGACTTAAGTCTGCTAACCATCCTGTTTGTTGACTTAAAAATAATCTAGTATCATGCTAATATTTAAAAATTTGGTTACTGCCAGTATGTGCTTTAGCTGTTACAGAAATTTTATAACAAAGTTTCTGAAAACCAAAAATAATCAGTGACCATGTACTTTTTCATCTGGGGAAGAATGGCTAAAAAAAAATTATAGCTAAAAATGGCTTACGCCATCATTCAGTTGCTGATAGTAACAGTAACACTAATTGCTGTGTAATTTCAGTTTACACAGAGGTGCCTATTGAAAAACTACAAGTCACCATTCAAGCAGGAGACCAAGCTCCTACAAAAATGGTACGTTTAGTAACATTTGAAGATCCAGAGGAACAAGTACCTTCCAGAAAAGAAACACTTAAAAGAGTGAAGAAAATCCTTGGTGATACTAATGACCAGGTACTACCATAAAAATCCACTTCTAGATTTGTGGGAGAGATTACACAAAACTTAGTTATTTGTATTTCTTTAACTAGGTATCTTCCTTTGCTTAGATAGTATAAAAAAGTTGGAAAATGAAGACAGGGCTTTGGGTACACAGTGTTTCTGCAGGTCTTTTGCTTGCATTCATCTCTTCTGCATGTGAAGAGCAGTCGGTAATTAGAAAGAGCAGTCTGGTTTTCTAGGCGTTTCTGAAAATCTCTTGGAAGACACAAAATAGTTGCGTGCCCAAAAAGGTAATCCGTTCCTTCCAGCACTGTAACTGTAGCAAAAAGGAATGACGCCTACCTAGACAACTTGCCCTGAGATATAACAGCTATAGTAATGTTATTGCATGTTCCATGTAACTGTATGATCAACTACTTCTACACATGTTGCATATCACAAAAGTGTTTGATGTATTCTTCTACTTCTGTGTAGTTTTAACATGTTATTATAAATTTGCCTGCTTGTGATGTATTGCAAGAATGCTATCAGGCATACATCTTGTCTCCTAAGGCAGCAGAGAGACTTGTAGCTCTCTGTATCCGATTTTACTTACAGTTTTCTGCAGCAGCACAGAAAAATAATTTTGTTTTTCCTATGGTACCATTAACTAGGGGATAATAAAAGCCAGAAGCTCATCATCCAGTGCCAGCAGCACCAGTGGAAGTGCCGAAAGTGCATCAAGTAGCCCCTCCAGCAGCGACTCTGACAACAAAGCGTCACGGGCAGCCACCCAGATAAATCTGAAAAGAAGAGAGTCCAAAGCCAAAGAAAAGAAATTCTACCCTTTTGGGGACAGTGGTGGCAGCAGCAGCAGCAGCAGCAAAAGCAGTAGTAGCAGTAGTAGCAGCAGTAGTAGCAGCAAAAGCAGTAGTAGCAGCAGCAGCAAAAGCAGTAGTAGCAGCAGCAGCAAAAGTAGCAGTAGTAGTGGCAGTAGCAGCAGCAGCAAAAGTAGCAGTAGTAGTAGCAGTAGCAGCAAAAGTAGCAGAAGTAGTAGCAGCAGCAGTAGCAGTAGTAGTAGCAGCAGCAAAAGCAGTAATAGTAACAGCAGCAAAAGCAGCAGCAGTAGTAGCCCCAGCAAGAGCAGTAGCAGCAAAAGCAGCAGCAGTAGTAGCAGCAGCAAGAGCAGTAGCAGCAAAAGCAGCAGCAGCAAGAGCAGCAGCAGCAGCAAAAGCCCGAGTAGCAGTAGCAAGGAGAGCAGCAGCAGCAAAAGCAGTAGGATCAGCAGCAGTAGCAGCAGAGGTAGCAGCAGCAGTAGCAAAGCATCTGGTATAAAGCCGAAGGCCAAGAAGCAGTCCAAGACCACACCATTTCCACTTGTCAGTGCTCCTGAAGAAGAGAGGAGAGTCCGTGAATGGAAGCGTAAAACACAGAGTAGCAGCAGTAGCAGCAGAAGCAGCAGCAGTGGCATCAGCAGCAGCAGTGAAAGCACTGGTGCTTTCCACCGCCATAGCAAATATGACAGAGAAGATGAGGTGAAACATGTCAAGTCCCAGTTTAACAGTCACAGTGATGATGTTTCTACAGAATGGGTAAAATTTTCTAATGATTTGACTTCTGCTGGGAGGTGATCTTTACTGAACTGTAGGTAACAACATCTTTTGGAATTTTGCAGGAATACCGCCTTCCAAAAGTATACCAGCTCCGCTTCAGGTCTGCTAAAGTCCATTGGGTAAGTCCCTAATTCAAGTGTACATTCCCATAATGGCTACAGTTGATATGATCAAGCATATTACTGAAGGACTTTGTTTCATTTCAGTTGAGAGTTCCATATTGTCCACTAAAACATTGACAATAGCCAAAATAAGAACATTTATTCTTAAAATACTATTATACTATATCCTTCTGTTGTTGCAGCACTTGCAATCCTTAAATTTGGGTCTGGAGACCTTTGGGATAGATGCTGTACAATGCAGTCAAAATTAAAGTTAACAAAGACCAGGGGGGAATTATAAAACAGCAGGATCTTCCGATGGGAATAACCATGTCCAAAGTTTTTAGGCAATCATGGAAAAAATCATCAGGTATGTGGACTGTGTCAGAAACAAGATTCAGTATGTATTATGTCATAGAGGTATTTTAAGTTCAGTTTGCATTATGTCATAGAGGTATTTTAAGTATATTTTAGGATGACAACATACTGGCTTTTGTAGGTGTTATCCATAAAGTTATTATGTATCCTGCTTGTGAAACAGGAAGATGATTTACAACGTTTTTCACTAATCTGTGATCCCTTTCATATTTCTAAAGCATCGGTTTTCATGGGCAATGTGATGCTGTTTGCAGTCACTGTCTATGCAGCCTTCCTATAAAGCAGAGATGCAGATGGATCCAAGGAGTATTCCCATCCAACATATTTCATGTCTGCATAACACTCTAGATATGTCTATGTTACCTACAGATGGAGGCTAAAAACTCTGTTGTTGATGTCTATACTTGTAAAACTAGAGGCCATGTCATAGCTTTTTAACTGTGTTTCTTAGCATCCAGATCATAAGATATCAAGCAGTTCATCATCATCTTCCTCTAAGCTGGGAAGTAGCCACAGCAACAGCAGCAGCAGCAGCAGCAGCAGCAGCAGCAGCAGCAGCAGCAGCCACCACCATGAAGAAAATACTGGCCACAGCTCAAATAGGAAGCACACAAGCAGAGGAGACAGCAGCCACCGCAGCCGAGGTTGCAGCGTGACACGCGAGGTACTGCTACTACCTGCTTGGTACAAACAAGCAGCTGGGTTTTGCTGGGTGCAGGGCGGGAACTTTGAATGTGTTGGCACTCGAACTAGCTGAGATGGAGCTCAAACGAGCACTTGAACAGCTAACCTTTCCGAGTTAGGCTTGGGAAGTACTCTGAAGTCAACTTTGTAAATTTGGAAATTATGCAACTTTAAGGGAATGGAGTTGTAAGTTAAAAGGGAAATAATTTTCTTATGAAAGTCCAAATGAAAAATAAATTGCATCAAAGTAAAAATGGGGAGGGAAAAATAGGTTTTATTTAAAGATTTTTTTAAACTTAAGTCCACCTAATTTAGATGTAGACCTGAGGTCACGAGTACATGAAGTGCATAACTAAAATCAGATTCCTCATTGTCATTACTGATTGGTAAATGTTCCATTAAGCCCAGATCATCTTTATCTTATTACACACTTAGTATTCTATGATTGTACTAAGGAAAGGTATATACACAATAATAGAACAAATAGCTCTGCAAATGCAGGTAATGTCTATGGGATCTCTGCTACTGAGAAGGTTTTCAACATAATCAACTGGCTTGAAGGAGCTGCAGTATAGTAAAATGTGCTGTCAATGTGTATACTGTTATGAAGATACCTAGTATGTATTTAGGCAACTATTTAAAATATTGAACAAAATCTTACTATGTGCATAGAGATAGTTTGGAAGAGTCTTGGATCCCTCATCAAAACAACCATGTCTTTAAAAATTCCTGGTTGTAATGCAAATAATCAAGATTCCAACCAAATTTATCCTTAAATATTGGGGTTATAGAAACACATACTTCAAACTAAACAGATGAAGGATGAGAGCTGCTTCCTGCTATCAGCACACATAAACTGGACTGTAGGATCTCCAGTGTATACACAGAAATATTTAAACACAGATGTTTGGGGGCTGTTTTTCAGTGCAACTTCCTGGGAGATATAATTCCACCTGGCATTACGATTGTGGCACAGGCAGTAAGGAGTGACAACAGAAATCAAGGTTATCAAGCTACAGCATATGTTCGTTCTGATGCTGCCAAAGTTGATGTGCAACTAGTTGTAGTTCAGCTGGCTGAAACCAATTGGAAAGCATGTGCTGATGCTGTAATACTGCCTCTGAAAGCACAGGTAAGCACACAGGCATCTTTGCTCAGAGTAACATCTAAAAGCCCAGAGATTTTTTAAGTACAGAGCACCTGATGATTAGGAAAACTAGACAGGAAAAACATACATATTTTGAAATGTTTCACAAAGTTTGTGAAATTTTGAAAATGTTCCTCTCTTTCACTATATTTTTGCATTAAAAATAAAAAAGAAAAAACTCAGCCACTTCAAAATCTGCAAAAAATAGATACTGACTTTCAGGATATATCAAGAAGTATTGGGGAAGGCTACTAGAAATTATAGTGCAGTCTTCTAAAAAGAAAAAATACATATTGATTCTGAAATTACCAAGTCTAAAGAAATGTTGAAATGATGAGAAACCGGATGTTTTATGAGCTGCTTTAAGACAGGAATATATACATGTAGTTCTGCACAACCTAGCAAACTTATTCTATTATGCCACAGATTTTTCCAGATGTAGTCAAAAATTCCCTGTGAGCTTATTTATAGCAAAAGAAAGACGTGGAAACACTGAGGATCAGCGTAGTTTCAGGAAAGAACTAAAACTTGCATCTTGAAATGGCCAAGGGTGGTTCTGTGATTCTTTTATGAAATTTGGTTGTCTGTTTCCCTGTTTGTAAAGGCCAGACTGAGATGGGGCAAGGAGTGCCAGGACTACAGGATAGCAGCCACAGCTACCACAGGCAAACTGGCGAGGAAGCCAGCTGTGCAGCTGAAGGTGCAATGGCGAAGTCTTCCATCATGGTTAAAAAAGACAAGCTCGGCGTATGTAATTTGCTCTTTCCTAAATTATTATTCTGCTTTTCTTACACTAGTTGGCTTTATAAAAACACTGAAAGAATTTGATTTTTTTCAACCCAAATATATTTGGGTTTTTTTCTGGATGGAAAAAAGAATTTCAGTTCCACAAAAGTATTTTTTGAATGTGTTCTCCTTTCTCCACATGAAAATCCAAAAATACCTCAAATATTTAAAAGCTTTACATGGTTAATTTTATTTTCCATATTAAATTATTTGATATTCCAGTTCAAAATGTCTTTTTGCTTTGAAAAGTTCTCTATTCAATCTCAAAAAATAACCACTTAAAATGAGCAGAATCAAACCAATGTGTTTCCTCTGGGTAAAAATCAACCATTTAATTTGACCCAAAGTATTATTTCTTTGACATTCCAGTTTGTCCATTGTTTCCCTGATTTTTCAAGCACTGCAGGTAGTCCTCATTCTCCCACATCTGCATTTCCTCAAGTACCTGAGTTTGTCACATCTTGTTTATCTCTAGATTCATGAAATACGTTCCTGGTGCAGCACTCATGTTGGGCTTTTCAGAAGCACATCAGAGAAATCCATCTCGTGAAGTTATAGTAAGGGCAGCTGCAACATCTCCACGCACAATCGATGCAGTAATTAAAGTTCCTGGGGTACATGTCAATTTTTATTTTCCTTTTCCCTACTTTGAATGGATTTTCAACTAATAATATTTCGACATTTAATGTAAAGAAAAAAACCAAAACAGTCCCTTTTAGACAAGCTGCTATATGCCTGACTACATTACATGAGTTTGAAATATATACAAGAGTACTTCTGATTTTGTGTTGCTTTTGTGCAATGTATCAATAAGTTGAAAATCAGACTCTGTAATCAAATGCCTTGTTTCCATGTTGAGAACAGCACTTAGGCCCAAATCTTTCCATGTATGACTGCACTGCACTCACCCCTTTATTCATTTTACCCAACATGACTAGCTCTGTGTGTTGTGAGGGTCCCAGAGCAGATAACAGAGGCCTTGAGAATGCTTTGCACTCTGTCGCAACCGTATGCAGCATCAATTTGTGTTGGTATCCAAGTCCCACATCTGCAGTAACCATGCTTGATGAGACAGGTCTGAGCAAGTTATGACAGCCACAAATACAACTCTGCCTTAACCAAACTGGAGCAGTTAGTTACACTCTCAGAGCAGCTTGCACAGGCTGGATCAGCAGAATCCCATGATTAATTGGTCCTTGTCCACCAAATCTCTCTGCACTGCTTTGAGAAATTTTCCATGTGGATCTCTGGCAAATTAGTAACAGCTAGCTATTCACACACAGAGAAATTAGTGTGTCTTTAACCTTTCATGGTGGTTCAGTGTTACAGTATCTTTAATATATGATAATGAAGACACAGGCACAGTAAGTGTTGATTGTTTTGGTAAATGTGACTTGTAGCTACAGTGAGGGATCTTCCCCCAACACTCACCTGCTCATCATGCCAATTTTCAGCCTGTAATAGATGCTGTTCACTTTTCCAGACACATCCATCAACTTATTCCGTTACTTAATTTGATACCTTATTTTTTAAGAAGTCACTTCAATATCACTTAAATTTCATCTGTGTCTGTTACTTTCCAATGTCCTTAGCAATTTCCCTAAAAGTGTGACTAGAAGAGAAGACAATGGTTCCTCACAAAACACTTAGGTTTGGGTGCATCCTGGAGAGACTAACACAACTGCAATTGTATAAATGCATCTTCAAGATGGTTTTTTCAAGATAAGAGACTTATTTGTTTGCAGTCATATCCTGAGCAATATGGTTCAATTTATCTTAATGTATTTTTATGTCTGCTTTTTCAGGTAACACTTTACTATCAGGCACTTCGAATGCCATTCACTCTGCCCTTAGGCCCATCTCCAACTTATGAGACTCGAGATATCACTGCCTGGAATTTATTTCCTGAAATAGCTTCACAAATAGCACAAGAAGATCAATGTAAATATTATTTATATGCTTGTCTCATGAATAAGCTATGTTTGTAGATCCACCCTCTGCCATGACTGGGCCTTGCCTTTCCTTGTATTGGTCTTATAAGGAAGCATAGCATCTCTAGCCCTGCTTTCTCAATAGCTCATTCCTTCACTTAGAAGTAAGTTTGTTAGCAGGTGGATGAAGAGACTCCAAACTCATTTAAATATTTAGAGTTCAGGAATCACTCCTGTCTGCAAGGACAAGGGATTCTCTTTTTGCCCCTTTTAAGAAGGTGCCATCTCTGCATTGAGAGGCATCAGGTGATGGTACAGGACAGATCATGTATTTTCTGCCCTCTTTATTTTTTCTCAAAAAGGAGTCATATGAGTCTCTAGCTGGTAGGTGCCTAGCACTTCTGTGGGAACTATGAACTAATTTTTATCATATTTAGTTATGATTTTTAGTTTGTCAAGAATTTGCTATGATTTAGTTCCTGTTACCTTGAATTTTATGTTTTTGTGAATTTAAGCATGTAAGGAAAATCAGTACGAGTATATCTGTATCTGCTCATTATTCTGCAGTGCTATCCCGTCCTTACACACTCTGGCAGCACTGAAAGTTTCTGCCAAGGAGATGATGAAGTTTCTTTCCTGTTTACTGGGTATTTCAGTTTCATAGAGGTGGCTTTCAATACTTTGCAGCAACACATACACCCCTGTCACATCTACAGTTTCTTTTCTGGTTTTGTTTTGCAGCCACATGTGAAGTCAGAGAAAGAGATTTCAAAACATTTGACCATGTGAGCCATACATTCTCTTTCAATAAAAGCTGCAACCTGATAGTGGCCCAAGACTGTACTGAGCGCCCAAAATTCATTATTACTACGAGAAATGTTGATCCTCAGTCTTTCTCAAGAGAGGTTCACATAAATACATCCTCAGCGTAAGTGTGGTTTATACTCAGGGCTCAGAAATGAGGTATAAAGTTCTAGGGAGTTAGTCTGGGAATGGGAAACCTGTAGCTCCTAGGTAAAACTGGTTTGCAATTAGATATTTGGGGAAAAACAGGATTTCCAGAAGGAGTACTCATCTGAGACTTTTTGTCTAGTTGCTCTTGTCTTCTATTTCACTGATGCCATTATCTGATAATGTGCTTATTATGTCCCATGCTGTCTTTTCTTTAAAGGCTGAATCTCAAAACCCAAAGTCCCACTGAATTTTCATTCAAAGATCAGATACTCAAGTTGGTTCTCTGCTAGCTTTGGTCACAAATATCTTTACTTTTCATATTTTAAATTAACCACTGGTTTTTTGTTTTGGTTTGTGGGTTTGCTTGGGGTTTTTAATTTATTTTTATTTCTCTGAAGGAACATCGCAATCTATCCTACTGCAAATTCATCTCTCCTTGTGGCATGCAACGAAGAACCCGTTCTATCACGCAGTGGAGTTTCCGAGTATGAAAAATGTAAGCTGTGATACTCACTTTTCCAGGACTTAACTTACCCAGAAACTAAATATGTTAAAAATATTTTTTACAAATTCCACAGAAATATCTCAATGTAAGGAAAATACAAGTGGGATTAAATAAAATAAAATCTAGGCTTGACTTTTGTGAGATTTGTACTGACTTACATTCCTGTTTCCTACAGTATATACACTTTTACCTCACTCCACCACAAATGGCAGGTAAATAAAGCCCTTTCTTATTCATGTGGTATGTCCAGGTTGGTGGCTGGTTAGAAAAAAAACATCACAGTTAGATGCTTTGTTTCAGACACTTAGCTGGAGCACCAGCAATGTCATTATAATTTCGAGATTTAGCAGACTGGATACAAAAGTCAGATCCAACCATAGGTAACAGCAGTAGAATATTTTTACACATAAAGAGATAATTTATCTTATTTTTGCTTTCGCTCAAAAAAAAAAAATCCCACTGTAGCAGCAATATTATCATTGTGAAGGAAATGCATTAGGGTGTATTTTGTGCTCAGTTTCTCCATTAATCTGAAATTAAACAGATCACCTTATGATTCACTATCTTTTTACAGACAATGTTAAAATTTCTAAAAATGAGACAACAGTTAGCGTGGAAGCTCCAACACACGGGCTGAAGAAAGTGACTTTTGATGGTGTGATCCTTAAGGTATTTGGCTTACTTTCAAGGTTACTACTTTCTTTCAGTTTAGTACTTTGGCAATGTAACAGACCAACACTTCAGTATTCACTACAAAGATGTGCTGTCTTATAGGTTACTGTTGCTTCATGGATGAGAGGAAAGACCTGTGGAATCTGTGGAAATAATGACAGAGAAAAACACAATGAACTCCTAATGCCAAATCATAAGCTGGCACACAGCTGTTCTACGTTTGTTCATTCATGGGTATTGCTAGAAGAATCCTGCTCTGGTGGTGAGTAGAACTGAACACACTTTATGTTTCCAGAGAAAACAATTCCACTTTTCCTCTGCCAATAGCTAGAAATTTTTTTTTTTTTTAAAGCAGCAGATATGTTTTTTAATAAGAAAAGACAATAGCAATATATATCCATTTTAACTTCATTAACTACTCTCTGATTAAAACACTACCTGTGAATATAGAGAATACATAATACAGCAAAAGTCTTTGTCTCAGGAATAGTTCAATGTTAAAGAATTGATTCTACTGTAATTTCTTACACTGAGTAGCTTTTTTCTTGGAGAGGCAAAATCAGGCCTAATCTTGCTCCTATTGAAAGAAATGTGATTTTCACCACTGAATCAAAGCAGTTTCAGCTGTTGTCTGCAGACTTAATTTAATCAAACCAGTTGCAGACTATGAATGTAGTGTCAGATCTGAAGTTTATGTATATTTTCAGAGTGCACAAAATTTCACTTTTGTTCTGCACCATCAGAGGTTGCAATCTCAGGGAAATATTTAGAAATACTCTTACTATAACAGAGCTTACTCTCACATATAACTGGACAACTAATGATGGCCTTCCATAACATCAGTACAGTTTTGTTCTGGAGGTCTGCATTTACCTTGGTACCTGAGATAACCTCATTGAAGTTAATGGCTGTTTTCTCCTTGACTTCAGTGGCAGCAGAATTGTACTTATCTGTGTGTCATGAAACAGAGTTATATCTGGGATCCTGTTAAGTTACATTATACCTTTCTAGTGAGATAATTGCAGCATTATAAAAATCATCCAATACAAAATTATCCTTGATGTTATTATATAAATGCTGCCCTTTTTTTTTTTTAATCCATTCACTACAGTTGACATTTTTCCTAATGAAATGAAGTAGCCATTGTGCTTGCAGTATCTATTCTTAATAGCGTTCAGACACGAGAGGTTATTTTCTGTGTATTATGTAGTTCTAAAAAACTGGGTATACATGATTCCATTTGGGTTATATTGTGCAATTAGATATTAAAAATAGCTCCCCTTTCAGAGTCTGTCTTCTATCCCCCAACTTATTATCACCCTATCTAGATAACCTCACTACTGTGAAAATGGTTTGTCAGACATCTGTGTTTTAATAAAAGCTGAAGAGAAAATATGGACCTTTATTACTGCAAGGATCAATTGGGATTTATTTCTACAATTTTAACTACCTTTCCTTTTTTCTCTTAGGGTGCAAGCTGCAGCGCAGTTATGTGAAGCTGAATCGAAATCCTACTATTGATGGAGAGGAATCTATGTGCTACTCTGTTGACCCAGTACTGAAATGTATGAAAGACTGTACTCCAATCAAAAAAACTTCAGTTAAGGTTGGCTTCCACTGCTTCCCAAAAGGTACGATATTTTTCTCTCTGTGTGTGTCATGTACTGTAGGAGCTCTGTCAGAGCATTCAAAAGAACAAAACACAGCACAGCCACGCACAGACCTGTATTGCTTTGGCTCCTCTCTGAGCTGTTGTTTTTAATACCATTAGTATTTGCTATAACCACTGACAGTACTGGCCAGCTAAAAGCTAGTTTAGATGATGGCAGGTAGCATCATCTGAGAAAAACATTTTAGGTGGTAAAAGGGGCAGCTGTGATCAATACATTTTTTTTCACATTTTCAGGATCTCCATAAAGTTAAGATAAGGAACACTGAGTCCTTTCATGTACATTACAGCCTGCAATTGTGTGTAGAACAGGGCAAGCAAGGCAATTGAAAGTCAGTGAAGTAGTGTGACATGACTGCTGTGATTAGGCTGCCATGCTATGCCACTGTGCAATACATCAGCAAAAAAACACATTACTGAAATGTTCTCTAGATTGTTCCAAAAAGCAGTCTGATTTTGAACATATTTTACACATACACACTCCTACCCCAGATTTTTAAAAATACTGGTTCTTCTTCCCCTTTCACTTATACCAATTTGCTACGGATATGATGTATTGTCTAACTCAGTTTCACACTGAAGTTATATAAGCACGAGAGGAGAATCCAGCCTGGAACAGATATTTCCTTCCTCAATCTTTTAGTGAATTACACAGTACATCCATACCTTAGAGGGAAGCCTACCATTAGGGAGTATCTAATGATGTGGTCTGTTCTGTGTTAACCATTGTTGGCCAAATCCATTGTTGGCTGGGATAATCCAGTGTGGATTTTCTGAAGTCAATGAATCCCTCTGTTGAGTAATAGTGGAGAGGAACAGAATATTTTGTGTCTGATTTTAAACAACATCTGTATAGAACTTCTCACTTTTCTCACGTTATTAATATCTGCAATGTGCTGAATCAGCCCATAAAGTAATGAATATCTTTCTATAATAGTCAACCATCTACAACAACCTATTCAACAAGTAGCATAGACTGCTAATAGTTTTATGACAGCTCCTTGAGATGTGAATTTATGCATTCTTTTATGAAAAGAAAAACCCACCCTCAATTAAAAAAAAAAACAGCAAACCTTTCAAAGTCTTGCCATATCCATGTTCCACAGATTTCTTTTGTGCGTCCACGTCTGTATCTCTGAAATGTTGTTACCCCAGGGCACTCACTGCCTCAGAATATTAGGCTATAATAAAGCTGTCTCATTCTCTCACAGAAATGTTTGAGAAAAGAGGAAAATCAGAAAAAAAAAGAATTAAAAAAATATTAAAAAAAAGATATATTAGTTGTCACAGCCAGTGTTGTTTTAACAGCAACTGCAGCCTTCACTGCTTCATTTACTGAACCAGAAAGTGGAAGTCTGCTAGCAGCACTTCTAATCAAGAGCTTTTTTTTTTATTTAACCTGAGCAGAAGGAAGAGGAGTAAAGGGAAAAGGAGAAGGAGGAAGGGAAAAGATGCTATTTGTGGTTTTTTAGCAAGGTCACTGCTTTTCCTCAGGCTAAAGATCAATAGAGATACAACACCAGCCCTTAAAAACTTTTATTTTTCTTCCTTTCTTTGATAACTTGGAGAAGCAGTAGAAACAAAATCCTTATCTTTCTCAAGCTGAGAACGTGTATTTTCATACACTGCACAAAGACCTTTTCTTAGCAATTTGTATGAGAACTCAGACCTGCTAGTCTGCGTTTCAAAAGAGAGGGACCCCATCACTGTCATCAGTGGAGCAAGGATAAAATGAAGTACAAGGATGCAGAATTTCCCGTTGTCCTCAAATCAGTGAGACTGTAGTCTTAGGATCTTGACTGAGGCAGACATCAATCCAAATTTAAGTCCACATATTAGTTTACATTTCAAACATGCAACAAACCCTACCCATAGGGAGAGCAGTTACTCAGCTTGTTTGCCCAGGGAACTATTTTCCTACATGGATATGAACGTGATCAGACCCACAGTGTGCCCAAGAGTAAGAAACATTAAAAAAATTAACGTACATAAAAAAAAAAAAACAAACCACAACATAAATCAGGCGTTCCATAGTATTTCTCATTTCACAGCCTGAAAACGTTATATATTTGTTAAAAGAATCTCCAGCACCTTTCTGGAAAACATTTATTATCCATTTTTATTATGCAAAACCTGTGCTTCAGGTTGGGCAGTAATTTAGCCAATGAGAGTATTAGCATTTCAGGACATAAGTGACTGAACCCATGCAGCAGTCTCCACATTTTCCTGTGATGAGAGATGGCATGTTATAAATGTACTGTCCAACTAAGGGATAAAACAAATGGAGGGAAAATTATGAAAGCTTTACCGATTCTCATTATACAAACTTAATCTAAATGGATGTTCTAATATTCTTCCAGATGCAATGATAAACCTCCAACTAGCTAAGAATATTTATTGGAAGGATGAATATCATTATTCCATTTAGATTATTTCAGCATTAAGGGATATGGCTCATTCAAGCTGCTGTTGATAAAGCAGTGTGGTAAGGTTAATACTGCAACTGACAATGCTCTGCCAGATTTCACAATATATGGGAAACTTTAATTAGAAGTTTATGAACCTCTGAAAATTCTCCAAAGGGCTTATCCTTCAGAATGAACTTTGACAGTCAGCTGAAATACACAGTGTTATGCAGCACAAACATAAAAAGAGATTGCTGATGTATATTGCTATGTGGTGGTCTTACACCTGCAGTGGCTACCTCCAGCACTTTTACAGTCTCCTGCCTGTTGTCTTTGTGCTTCATGAAATGTTATTCATTTTGGGTTTAGGGAAGTATTATAGTAATTATATCATGGATAAAAATCCTGCTCCAAGTCAGTGAGTCAGTTAGATGTCAGTCGTGGGGGCAGGCAACTCTTTGGTTGATGAGGGAGTTGGCAGCCATCAAAACAGTATTTCCTTGAAATGTATTAATTTGCTTGATGTTAGTTAACAATGGCTTCACTCTTCTGACAGATACCACTGTAAGCCTGCTGGAATGGCAGAGAAGCAGTGATAAGAAATCTGCATCTGAGGATGTTGTGGAGTCTGTGGATGCTGACATTGATTGTACCTGTACTGGCTCCTGTAGTTAAGCTAAACGCTTCAGTGTTGTGCTATAGACATACTATACATATAATTGAATAGCTGGGCAGATAAGAAGGGAGCATAATAGCTGCAGTAAAATATTAAGAAAGGTGCTTACAGAAAATAAGCCTACTGCATTGCATCCAAAGTCAAATGCATTATGTACAGTCTTCACTGCTTAATAAATATGTTGTTCATTAAATAAGTATTCATGTGGTCTGTCTCTTTATTTTTCCCTATCAACAAAACAATCAGACCAACTATAATATTATCCAGAAATTCTGCTTCCTTTTATCTGCAATATAATTACAGCAGTCCTCTCTTAAAATTACGTTCACTAGGTGATGAAAGGAAAACATGATTACGGCTACTGCTAACATTCCATTGTACAAAGAATTTCATATTTAGCATACTAAAGACACAGTAAGCATTTGTTTTCTTTTATGTTTTCTGGTAAAGAGCAAAGTCTGTTCTTGGAACCGTTCTGCAAAAAAATACATTTTACTCCCAGCAAGACCATTAGCCTTAGTACATTCTACAAAGGAATGATTGGACTGCTAGACTCCCACTGTAGCTTTCCAGAGAGCTATCGTGTGTGACACATTCCCCATTTTCATTTAAATTTCAATGGATGTGCTGTTGCTTCATGAGCTAAAAGTATGAATAGGAACTTTTTTTGTTGTTTACCATTCCCATTGTATACCTATGAAAACGATACCTTTAAAAAAGTCAGGGAACAATAATACATCAGGTAGCATTCTGAATTCCCTAAAAAAGTGATACTAAAAAAAATATGTAAGATCAATAGCATCATAAAGCTAAAATAAAGTACAAGCAGGACACATAGACTGTGTTTAACCAGCAAAGTGTCAATCTGCTAGCTTTCACTAAGCCTATGCAGAAAGGCGATTCCCTCCCACCCCAGGGGGCCAGGAATAGGTGGCACCTTCTAACCCCAAACAATGGCACAATATCTCTTTACCTTATACACAAAACAGCTGTGCAGTGAGCCATGATACATTTCCACAACAGGCAATAACAGCAAGCATGCTCTTCCAAGAGAAGCCTTAGCATGGGCAAGGCACTGCTGAACCCAAATGCTGTCAGGAAACTGTCATTAAAGGTGATACTTTTCTTTATAACTAAAACTGAGATATCAGAAAGACGATTGAAGACTAAATAACTGAACAATTACAGAACAAAATTTCTCAGTGCTTTTTTATTTCCCAGAGCAGAGATATGAGTAATGTATCATACTCCTTTCACTCTCTCTCAAGCTGCAGCTTGCCACAAACTTTAAGAAAAGACACAGTTTTTCTCAATGTACTGCATTTACCTCCTTACTTCATTATTTCTGGAAGAAAGTAAGCCATTAGGAGTTTGTTCAAACCAGGGCTCAGTGGGGTAAGCCCTGATGCCTCGTGCCCTTAAGCCTCTCTCCTGAGTATAACAAACTTTTAAAGGGGTTTACCCCAGCCTTAATTTAGTCTATATGTTGTATTTGAGAACCGCTCTTGTATATTGGGTCTATATGCAGGTAGGCAGTGTTCTATTCAACAGCTTTTTTCCATACAACTATGCTTAAACTAAGACCAGTAACATGAATTCTTGCACTGTTTTTATTTGTAATAAAGCGTCCACAAGTTCCCTGTAAAAAAAAGATGTGTTTTGCTGACTCATCAGAAGTGCTACACTGCCAAAAAGGCAGTCCCAAACAAGAGGAGAGTTGAAGAATATTGCATTACACTTTCCTTTAAAATCGCACTTATATTACACCTGGAAAGACCTTTTCTGGAGTATTGTTTTCACTGTGACTTACGGGAGATATGCATTGACATTCATAGGATTGGACTGTCATCTTTAATCCAACACCTTCTCCTTTAATCCTCTTGTTTACAAAAGAGAAACTTTTGCCAGTCAACCACTTCAAATAAGACAAAGGTAGAGAAGAGATATAGTGAGAGAAGAAAAATGAACTTTCATGCTCAACTACTTGAACAGGAGTTTACTAACAGCAAAGAGCCATTAGTAAGAAAAGTAATTCTGCTTGTAGTAAAACACAGTCATCTACACAGAAGCATGACACTGATTAACAATAAGCTGGGATGTACAGTACAAAAAATACAAGCAACTCATAAAGGCAAATGCCTTCTCCTAGAAAAAAATTACAGACTATTACAGCCATTGGAAAAAAACTTGAAGGCAGAGACTGATCAGCAGTCCTAAATTAGTTTATTCTACAATGCCGATATAATACATACCGTACAGCATTAAAAAGCAATAAATACAGCAGGTCAGGGCTGTTCCTGATGGATCCTGCAGCAACAAGGCACCTCCAGTGCCACAGCTAAAGGGAGCCACCAGAACAGCTAGGCATCTCTTTCTTTACTGCTAAATTGCCATGCCTTGTAAAAGGTATCCTGCCCATGTTAAATCACAAATGTTTGCCTTTCCCCCAACAGATGCTCCTCTGTTAGCACTTTCCACTGGCTGTGGTGTTCACAGGCAATGAAGGTCCCAACAGCAAGACACTGTATGGGACTGCTTGAGCACAGAAGTCCTAAAGAAACTCCTAGTTCACACATTGTCCCAGACACAAGGAAAGAAAGGTGAAAATGCCCCACAGCGTCAGAGCATAGCCAGGGAATTCACTCACAGTCACCCTACCAGTAACACAGCCCAGGCTGGGATGCAGGCTCAGACAAAAAGGAAAGCATTGGCTAACAAAATCCAGACACACTTCTTTCACTGGTCTGTGCAGGGCATGGTTGAGACACAGCTGTGTTATCTACGTTTGGAAGGGGCAGCTTTCATTTCTCAGCAGTTTCTTTTCTTTAGTACCCTCTGCTGGGAGAGCTGAATGCCTTTGACTGACTGAAAGACCACTGATGTTGCAGCTGTAAAATTCAAATATAGCAGAAGTTAGTAAAGTGGGAGTTTGGCAGTGGGCATGGCAAAGCAAAAGACTTAGAACCACCTCATTTTGCCAAAGGAATTAAGTGCATTAGCAGTACAAGTGTGAAAAAGCCCTTCTGGAGTTTCTAGCACACCACATAGATATTTCCAACCCATCTGGGAGGATATCTGCAGTCCAGATTTAAACCTCATTTGGAAATCATGCCTGTCCTATGCTATAAAGCAAACCAAAGTTATATAGCCTACCGAGTATTAAAATGTGTACTTCATAGTCTGAGTTTTTATGCACTCTACGTTTCATTCCTAGTGCTTCTCAATGATATGAATTAATGAACTCTGGACTTAACTGTAGTAATCAAGGAATATGACCTTGCAATTATAGTACTCCAGTATTGTTTTAAAAAATGAGTATCAAAAAAAGATGCAGGCCTAAGCATAGGCCAGGTTTGAGTCCTAATTCTGCCTTTGTAGCCCTATAATGCGATTTTGCATAAGGCTGGAGATTTCTGTGCCTCATTTTCTGCATCAAAAAGATATGGCTACTTACCTACTTGGAGTCAGAAATGCTTATGAATTTTAAGTCCCATATGTTTTTTGCACGTTCTTCAGTGATTCTAGAGATGAAAAGCAAATTTTTCCACTAGATCTCCTAACCACGTGAGTATATTTTATTGCTAAGTTGAAGGTTTTCATTTCAGATTCATCCAACTGTAAAATAACTATACATTTGAAGAAAATCGAAACAACATACTTAATTTGTTCATGGGCAGCTTTGGTTAAACCTTAGTGGATTATTATTCATAAAAGCCTAGAATTGGATCCTGATATTACAAAGGGATAGGCAAAAGGCTATTGGAGACACACTCTTTTGTATCCTAGACAAAGACAACAAACCTTTTGTCCATCAGACCTGGCTCTTTTAATTCGCTAATTTTAAATGACAGAGAGACACTTAGGAAAGCATGGTCATTCTGCTCTGGAGAAAGAAGCTGCAGTGTGATGGGAAAGGACAAAACCCTTAATATCAGACCCCTTCTGGAAATGAAATGCCTGCTCCACAGCTTGAGCATTAACAAAAAATAACGTGTACAATTCTAACCCGACTGAAGCCAATGCTTAAACTCAACAGAGCCAGGCTTTTACTCAGCATGTTTGAATGAGTTATTAAACGAACTTTAGTTGTCCCTAAAAATAAATGTACTGTGTGGATCTAAGTGCAGCTGATGAATAAGAAACCTCAGGAATATAGCAAATAAAGTAGTTAGGGATAAAACCAAAGATAGCACAGAAAATTGCAGAAGTAGCTATTAGCGGCCATCTGAGCTTTATGTTGAATCTCAAGGTCTCTCATGCCATCTACTGGCTTTTTTGTTTTTTAACAACGGTTTAAATCTTTTTCCTCCAGGTTTATTTATAGGTCGGTTACATTCCAGGCAGTTTTATATAAATTCTAATCAAGGTTTGGGGTGGGTTTTTTTTTTTTCCCTCTAACCTCCACACTTGATTACTATGTCATTTTTTTTCCTGTAAGTCCATTACAATTCTGTACCTTTCTGAACACCATTTCACACTGTCTCTGGAGGAAAAAGACATTGTCCAAGATATTCTCATTTCTGTTATTGCTGGATACGCAGTAATTACATTGCAAGCAGGACTGGGAGAATAGTTTACTAAGAAAATTCAAAGCTGCTCGAAAATAAAGCTTACAATTCTTCCTTAGTCTGTGCAAGAAGGTTGTTATTTTCATACCTGAACATGCTTTAATGTTAAAAATAAAAAATAAAAAAAATCAAAGAATCTGGTTTTCCTTCTTTTTTCCCTTGCATATGTTATATATATATAATACCTTTTATATTTATATAATATATAAATATTTTCTAGAAAAATATGATCATAAATCTTCCCTTCATTGTCTGTAGCCTTTTTCTTCCTGACGTCCCAGTTTCCCTTCCCTATTTATCTGTGTTCACTGTTTGTCCTCAAGAGGACAAACATGAGCACCTCAGCACACCTTCACCCAGCTTACAGGGGAAGCAGGCATCCCTGCAGCTGTACACCATGCCCCATTTACAGGCTATTCGGCATCCTCAAAATTCACATTACACCCCATGTTAAAACATCAGCCCAATGAAGCTTTTGGAGCTTTACAGAGTTGCTCTCTCCCTTCTGTCTGTGCTTTCCTTCTGCATTATCTTTCACTCATCTAACAGGCTAGGGGCCAGGGACATGTGTGATACAGCATTTGTATAGATTGTTGATGTTAGCCAAGGTTGAAGTCCAGAGCCCAGAAGG